TAAAACATGTATCTGTGACAAGGGAATTCTGTGAATCACTTTGCTTTAGCAAGCTCCACAAGAGGTCCAAGAGGTCAGCCTCCCAAAAGTGCCTCTGACAGGAAGTCACATGTAAAAAAGCACTTCCATGAAGTTAATCCTCTTCCACGATGAAACTTGACAAGCAACTTCTCTAATTACTGACCACCTTGCTGAGCTGAAGTTTATCCTTGCATCACCATCCAGACCATGATGTGTTATATTTTATCTTGTTATTATCTTTTGCTGCCTGTCTCAGATTCCTCACTTAACTCCAGTCATCCACGTCAATGCTCCAGCTTGATGCTGTGCCCTGTGCCTGCATTAACCACCTCAGCACAGACATTATGATGAGTGAGGAAGAGCAAAAATAAGAACAATTATCATTTTCTCTTAGATTACACTCGGCAGATGTCAGGGCCCACATGTGGAGGCAGCTAATTGCTGTCTCCAAATCAACTGCGCCATAATACTACAACCATATGTGAGCTATTCTGTGTGTGGCTGGGGAAGTTTGAGGCGGAGAGGGGTGCGTCATACAGGAAAAGAGTGTATGCTGTTACATCAGATACGCCCTTGGTCGTGTGTGTAAAGAAAAAAAGCCAGGCTAATGCATGTGTCATGTTGGTGTACTGATGATCGTACTCGCCATCAGCTGTTCACACCCACACGAGCAGAAAGAATCATATGGTAGGAAGGCACGGAGCGGAGCAGCAACACGCTAACTACCTACTCACATGGTACGCATAAGGCCATCATGCTTTTGTGGCATGGTATTCATATTTTAGGCACACTCACACATGCATGCAAACATACACACAAGTGTGCCAACCCCCCAACACACTGGTGCTCCCAGCAGTTCCACAGTGCCTAAGAATAATAAAGATTGAAGGATAGAAAGCATCCCTCCACTCCAGCTTTCCTTTCCACTCCACACCCCTCTCTCCCGCATCTCTCCACGTAGCCTCGAGTGAGGCTGCATCTGCACGGAGGCAGACGAGGTCCCTGGGGTGATGGAGGATGGGGGGTGGGGGGTGAGGAGAGGGGGGTGCACGGCTGTCACACTGAGCTCCAGTGTCGGCTGATGGCTCGGCGTGAGGCATGCCACTTATCAGATTGGTGGGGAGGGTAGGAGTCAGGGGGGGTGGGGGTAAGGGTAACTGTGTGCGCGGGTGAGGAATCACAGGGGAGAGAGGGTGAGGGTGATGCCAGAGCCCATTAACACATCTTTTGATTAGTACACACACAGGCAATGGATTGCACACACACATTTAGATGAACCTTGAACCACACACACACACACACACACACACACACACACACACACACACACACACACACACACACACACACACACACACACACACACACACACACACACACACACACACACACACACACACACACACACACACACACACACACACACACACACACACACACACACACACACACACACACACACACACACACACACACACACACACACACACACACACACACACACACACACACACACACACACACACACACACACACACACACACACACACACACACACACACACACACACACACACACACACACACACAATGTGCAAAATTGCCAGAGCTCCTCAATCCTCCCTACAGGCAGACGGTAGCCCGATGCCGTGACTGCCGCTGTGAAAAGCCCCTGCTCCTCCTTCCGTCTCTCCTTTTCCTTTTCATCCTCCTTTCCCACTCTCCCTTGGTGCCCCAGTTCACTCCAGTGCACACGCTCCCTCTCCCAATCCGCCCCTCCCCCCCACCTCTCTGGCCCCCATTCCCAGTCTCAACCATGCCTTCCGTTTTTGCAGCCTTCACTCGCTTGTCTCTTCCAAGCATTTCCAGCGCTCTTGTGAAAAATACATTAACACCCTCATAAAAATGTATTGAGGTATATAAATATGAATGCGCACACACACAAACACACACACACACATTCAGAAAATACTACATACACGCCTTAGCAAGTACATGTCCAAACTCAATGCAAAAACGACCACCTCGGACTCAAATTAACTCAATAAAATGTAATGTTTTACTTAGTTTTGACAACTAATCACTGAACTCTATAATAAATTATGGGGAGTTTTTTCCATGTGCCTAAACAACAGGGTCACGCACACGTAAACACATCAAGAGATGGAGATGGGGCTTTGATGGAAGAGGTCAGTCAGTCTCAGAGCAGAAAAACAACACCTCATTAGGCATGTTGAAGGGAGTCTGCAGGCCGGGCCGGGACATTGTTGTCTGCTAGCATGCTAACAGAGCCCTGGGCAAAGCTTCCAACGTATAAACAAACCTGATAGAATCAGAAAGTAATGATCACATGTTATCCACTAGAAAGGACATGAATAATCCCATATAGCCCTGCACGCCCCTATATACCAATGGATGCAGACATGGACGCAGTGATACATGCTTGAGCATACATCCGTGAAATAACAGTGATGTCAGGATGCCCAGGGCTGGTTCTTTATCCTATGCATGCATGCACATTGCTCTCCATTCATAAGATTATAAGCTATTCATTACTGGATGGTACTGTATACCAGTATTCATCCTATAGGCAGTACAGTATAATTCCTGAGAGGCAGGGACTCTGCACTGAAAAGTCTTTGCTTTGGGCTGTAGGCAGTCAATTTACTTTCCATCACGCACTCACACACTTTCAGTCGTTCTTGCACTCACAGTATTTATCTCACGGCCTCTCGCTCTATCTTCCCTCTCTCTCCTTATATTAGGCCATCCTCCTTTCCCCTGGCTCCGATGTTAATGCACTCCCAATCAGGCTGTCCATTAAGCAGACGTGCACTACACGTTCATCAGGCCGTCCAAAGGCCCGCATGCAAATGAGCTCAAATTGCAGTGCGCTGCAAACTCCTTGAAATCTCCTTAGCGGAAGAACGTGAGTATAAGACATGCATTTGTGAGAAAATGCAGGAGAAATCGAGTGGCTGCCTGTCTATTTTATGCAAATGACAACCACGGAGACAAGTATTACAAAGGATTAACCTAACCAGGGTGTCTTTTTGATGTTTTCGATGCAATGATGAGACACTCACATGTGAAACTTGCTGATGTAAAATATATCCTTGATTCATAAGCCTGAGAGTGTTGAGTTTCTGTCAGCCAATCCCTTTCCTCATGCACAGTGAAACTTCTCCATTTTGAAACACTGTCAAAACTTTTGGTGGAATCGCTGAGAGTGCGACACGAAACAGATTTTTCACTAGCTTTCCCTCTCCTCCCTTTTTGACCGCTAGGCATTACACATCAGTACATTCTGTTCTTTACGAAAAAGTTTGTTATTGTATCCGGTGGGACGCATTTATTCTCACCTCAGTTCCTCGCAAACTGTAACTTTCTAAACCGGAACAGGGATAGAATAGAAAAGGGCTGTGTAGCTATGTGGGGGCTGTCACGGATTTAAGCAGAAGAGTGTTTGATGTAAAAACAAGTAGGAGAAAGAAGGAAGCGGAGAGACACTCTTGTTCAGAATGCTGCCTCTTTGCATTCAGGTGGCAAATGGCCTGGCGTTAAAGGCATGGAGCGGGGGGGGTGTCAGCGAGGCCTGCCGCGTGCCAACTCCTAAGTGGCGGTGGCACTCAAAGATAATGAAGAACGATGATGAGGGCGAGGAGGGCATCCCGAGGGCTCACGTGCACATTTAAAAAAATCACCCAGCAGTCACCTATCAAGCTCCGCACACAGCCACTCAAAAAGGTTTGCCAACGGCGCTGATTGCATGTCACCGAGTGTCAAACCTGCGGCTCAACTTTCCACTTTCCTTCAGTAATCCAGCCCACTTCTCTGCGTGTTCTCTGTGAACATACGTTACTCATGCCTGGTGTGAAAAAGAAGGTAAGTCATTATGCAGTCACACCACATGATGCGAAAAAATAAGGGTAACAGGAGAGTGAAAATAATGGATTATAAGCGAGTTCCCTGCATTCCTCAATCGTGACCTCGAAACACACTTGTCGTCTTTATTGTTCATTACCGAGCCGTGCGCCGCGATACGCTAACTAATCCCATTAAACTAATCCACATGAAAACAACTTACGGCACGATAACAGCTCGTACCGCCTCCACTGTTAATTTATGCCATATTCAAATATGCAATGAATTGAAATAATGAATGTGACTCCCCCACTAATTTTCTTGTGGCAGAGATACAAGATGGATACCCGCAGGATGTTTATTTTCATCCACATTCTTGTTGCCCACATTTCCTATTATTGTCCATGTACATGTCCAAGTCACGATCATTTTTTGCTAATAATGTTTTTGCCAATTAGTTAATTAAAGGCAGTGGAAATATATTTGTTCTCCGATTGGCACACAAACAACCATTACATTTGCCCTCAGAGTTGCTTGGTTTGAAGCCACCCCTTAACACATGTTGTATGTAAGGTGTCAACATGACGTTGAAGACCTACAGCAGGTGAGGTATCCCAGGATCGTCTGCCTCTAAAATCTTGTTACCGCGTGATGTGACAGCAATAACCAGCCACAGGCAACAATTCCTACCCACGATCGATTTTATTATCTTTAAAAGCTCTTTTATTCCAAGAAACAAATCACAGCTCCAACAATAGCACCCGTATGGGCCCTGTACATTGCCTGCTGGTTAACAAATACTGAGTTTGTTTGGAAAGAAGAAGCGTCCGCATGGGTTAATGAATAAAACATGTTGCCCTTATTAAAAATAATCTGGCTCAAAAGAGCCAGAGGCCCTTGAGGTCGATAACTCCCCCTCCCCTCCATCCGCTCCCTGCATCTCCCAGGGTTCAAGGAGAGAGGTCCCTGATTAGCAGTGGCAACATCCAGAGAATGCATTCAAATTCTGAATGATCCAGTGGTGAGTGTGTTGAGTGGAATTAAATAAAGCAGATAGCGTTTGGCGCTTGGGGCTACACAGGGTAGAGTTTAGTATTTTGAGATGAGCTGTCTTACCTGAACATCTCGCCCAGGCCCTTCAGCACGCCTTTCTTGGCTTTGTTCTTGTCCTTGTCTCTCTCCCTCTCTTTATCCCGTTCAGGTTTCTTCTTTTCCTTGCCTCCAACCTTGTCTTTCTGTCTGTCATCTTTGGAAAGGTTGCCGTTCATCCCTGGTCCCAAATTGAGGTCGCTGCTGGTGGACATCGACTCGCGACCTGATCTGGAGCTTCCCTCCGTGTCCTCGTCCACTGGAGGGAACAGATAAGGGGGAAGGGAGAGGTGTTAAACATTGATATTGAGTGGAGGATAGTGCAGCACACTCACAATAACACAAGGATAATAAGAAATAAAATATAAGTTAATAAAGGCAGACAGTTTACACAAAGTGTAACTTCCACTTGACTCCCTGTGGATCACAGAAACCCCAGCACATCAGAACCTCACTGTCTTTTTTATATAACAAAGAAATAGTTCTTTCATCAGATAAACCGTTGGAAGAAAAACTGTGTCCCACAAGGTATGGCAGCTTTGAACAAAACACACTGAATGAATGCGCCTCATTAGAGCAGAATATATTTACTTTCTACCCCCTTTGAGAAAAGCGTTCAGTTGAACATATTTTCACTTAGCTGAAAGCCTCAAGTTATTTCAAATGTGTACATTTCACACAGCTCACAAGAGAACTTTCTTTTTTTCCCCCTTATCTGTTGAATTTCCTATAAAAATAATGTGCTGGAAAAATGGAAGCTCTAATGATAGTCATATGCATTTGGTTCTTAATTTACGTCTCAACTAATTTCAACCCAGACATCAAATTGAAAACCAAACTCCTTAGGTGATGCAGGGTTGATTAAACTCAAAGTTTCCATCACATCTAATCAGAACTGATGTGCAAAATGTAATTAATCTGTCAGTAATTATACATTTAAATAATCTTGAAAATGGCTCCCAGGGATCTTAATTGCAAATGTGGTGCACTTCACAGTCGTCATAGCTCCTGCCTACGCTGTGTCTCTGGATATGAGGCATGAGGTAGATGTCCTTCAGATTACAATTTATAGCAGTCTTGCCTTTAAGTTCTGCCTTTAATGGAAGAGAAATGAGTGATTATCATGAGGAAAGAAAAAGGAGGGAACCATGATGGGTTTGAGTTACACGGAATGAGACGGAGGGTGGAGCGGCTGGATTCACATTTCAAGGGACAGTTTTCTTCTCTTGTGATGTGTGGAGTTATCAGCCATTTATTTCAGCTGCCATCTTGATATGACTAATGGAATCATGTGGCATCGCACAACAGGAAGCAGTGGTTTAAACCTGCACAATTATGCAATTCATCGCTGTGAGGCCCCTCTCTTAGTTTTGTCCATGTCCACACATTTGGAAACAGGTTTGGTTTTAACAATCGACTCTATCTTCTGCCTGCTTATCATTCACTTAAGAGCAGCGGCAGCAAATAGCAGCTGGGAGCTGTATCTGGCTATTTAAATGCCTGAGATTAGCAGGAGTGCTAATGTCACTAATGATGCCGATAGAAGATAACATACTACCATTGTAATCCAGAATGTCCCAGAGGGAGGTGGCCATGTGTTTTTGTGACTCACGGGGAAGTATTTACATGTACTCATAAAAAGGCCTTATTTTGAGTTATGTGGAAACCCAAAACAAATTAAATATGTAATTTAATCGCACTTTTTTCCTTTTGCATCTTTTAAATAAAGCGATATTTTCGATCACAACACAAGATGAAATACTTTAATACTGGACATCAAAACGAGAGGCCGTCAAACACAGTTTTAGGAATGGAAAATGTCTTAGCTGACACAATGACAGCAGAAGCATTGATGAAAGTGTCAGGAGACAGAGACAGACAACCGCAGGAAACATTTAGTCACTTCTGTGAGAAGCTACCATTAAACTTTCCAGCTTTAATAATCAAGGACATTTAAGCTGGCCTGTCGGTGAAGGTTATGACAGACATGTAAAATTGCCTGTCTTTTTCCAACACACAAAAGAAAGGATTTTCCTCAGCAGAGCAGATTTGTCTTTTTTCTTTTTTCTTTCCTCAAACGATGCAACTCAAAGTAGCACAAGAGAAAGTGCACTTTGCCTTGCAGGATATCTTGTGGGGACACATTTTCTTTAGGTGATGCCACATTCTTATTTTATGTAAATAAAAGTCTGGGAGCAGAGAAAAGCAGCGGCTTATCTGTCAACTTTGACTATTAACCTCAGTGACGAGCACGGACTGGCTGCTTTTATCTAAATTGAAAAACAGAGTTATTTGAATATCATGGAGGAGAATGCAATATACCACGGCAGGGGAAATCTGTTGCTTTCCCCATTTTTCTTTGCAGAGATAAGACTGTATTTAATGGCTTGCCGACAGAGCTTATGAGAACAAAGCGTTTCAGGAAAATAATTCCCTCTTTTTCAAATGTCCCCCAGCTCTTTTAATGGAATCTTTTAATGGCGAATGCAAATGTATATCTGGTGATTACTCTTGTGGTGTTGCAGGGTTATTACCTGTCGCAAAACGTAAGACGGCTGTCTTTCAATCCCAAACGCGTGTCTTTTTGTCATCAAACACCAAATAGGAATGGATATATTCACTCAAAGGAAAGGTGGCATGCCTTTCTTTTCTAATGCTGTCTTAATAGTTCAGAATAAAGGAATCAGGCACAGTGAAGAAAGAATGTGAGGGATCCTGGCAGTTATACAGTGGATCGTGCCAAAACTTTCTCGCATAGACTAGAATAATTGTAAATGCAATTATGTTATATTAAGATATTATAACCACATATGATACAATAGGAGACTGACTTATGTGGGTAAACAGCGTAATAGTTCCTAGCATGCACTCTGTTTGAAAACATGGCAATGCACTTTAAGAGTATGTAGGCTCATGGGGAAACATGCTGCCACAGTTTCTGACAATTCCACTCAACATGAATGATTTGAATATTAATGAGTGTGTAACGTAGACGCCTATTGCAGATGTGCTTTATGACACACACACACACACACACACACACACACACACACACACACACACACACACACACACACACACACACACACACACACACACACACACACACACACACACACACACACACACACACACACACACACACACACACACACACACACACACACACACACACACACACACACACACACACACACACACACACACACACACACACACACACACACACACACACACACACACACACACACACACACACACACACACACACACACACACACACACACACACACACACACACACACACACCTCTCACCAGCAAAAGGGGATCCCTAACCTAGTTTCTAGTGGAAAGCAATTTTGAGTTGGCCTATATTACACTGACTGAATTTCTTTATAATGATCTACTGATATCTTCTATTGTACATTATAAAATGTCACATTTCTGAGTGCATTATTCTGGATCGCTACTATAAAAAAACTAACTTGGAAAAACAAAAGCACTGCATACATTACTTATATCACTCACATGTCTCCATGCTGTTTTCTTCCTCTGGTGTTGTGGTACCAGGTTTCTCGTATGATTTGTCAATGGCAGCTCTGAAGCTCTCGTTGCAGCCGCGGCCCCTGAGGATCCGTGAGCGGGGCCTGTTGACGTTGATCTCACCGTTCTGCGTCACCTCAGCAACAGCCGTCTGGAGGCTTTCCAGGGAACTTGACTTTTTCAGGCCCAGCGATGGTCCCACATCTTGTTCTTTAGAACCTATGGGAAGAAGAAATAGCGTCACTGAGACCAGCATACTAAAAGCATGTGACTCCCCCACAAAGGCCACCTAAAACCATCATCTCGAAGTTCATTGCGTGTCAATGAATCATTCACAAGTTGCTAGTTTTATATTGGAATGATCTCTAAGAAAGCCAAGATAAAATGTGGTTCTGGCAATTAACATGAAAAACAAATGATACCATTGCCTGGCCAATGAAGTGTGTGAAATGAGAACAGATTATTATATCTTCCCTGAGACATTTCCCTGTTGAGAATTCTAATTCAACCTTTGTCCTTGTGTCTGCACAGTTAAATTACGAGACCGAGACATAATGCATATAAATTGGCCGATATCAAAGACACCAATGTACCTTGGCACCAGAGTGATCATAGTGTTTTACTAAACTATTACAAGTTCACAAAAAGTATGAATGGAGTGTAAAAAAGAAAATGATTTCCATAGGTGGTCCTCTGATTGTTCTTTCTTTAGTAAAAGAGAAAGAATGGAGAAAAGAGTCCACATATAGACAAAGCAAATCTAAGTCCTTTCATTTCCAACACCATTCTCTTGTAATCACTAGAACATCTTAGCATAAAAAACATATCACAGCTGCAATCCTTCGCTAAGGCCTCAGCAGGTGGATGGTAGATGGCAGGTAATAGCACACCATGAGGGCAGAAAATTGCTCCGTTATCAGCCATATGTTGATTAGACTAGTGGGAGAAAAGCACCAAAAGTCTAGTTTGCACATATGTATGATAATGTAAATATGGTTCATGAGAAAATATGTATAACACAAACCAATGGTAGCCACTATCTTTGTACACATGATATAAATGAATGACTATTGTGGCTTGAAATGTGTTCTAATTGGAGAAGCTTAGTATCTCCTCAAAAAGACCTACATGGTGCTAATGTGAAAGCTGCTAGAGCAGATGTGTAGGAAGGAAAGTGAATGTTGAACAGCAAACCTCTTCAACACTACCCTGGACAGCTGTAATTATGTTTCCAATGCTTGCCAGGGGTTTGTTTAGGGTATGTAAGTGGAGCACAACTCAGGTATTGGTATTTCATTTTGTCAGGGAGCGTCAGTCAGTTCCCCGGAGCTCTTGTCTTACCCGCTGGATGGTAAACAAGTGGCCTGGTTGATTTTCTGTCCCCTTTATTTTGCCTCGATTTAGCGCAAAGCAATGTGCCGTCAAACGTAACGAGATGGATTTCTGAAAATGTGCAAGTAAAGCCTTGTTAAATGTTAATGTTTTCGGAGGAAACTATTGGTAATAATGGATAAACTGTTGATTCAATTACTTCTGCAGCCTCACTGACTCTCTGAGGGCTAAGCATATGTCGATGGAGTCTGGACAGAGCAGCATTGTATCTTTACGACTCCCTGTAGACCATATAGACCCTCCACATGTAGTGAGTGTGTGCTGCAGTTTCCTCTGTGGCTTCACGTGGTGTAAATAAACGTCTCCTACAGCTCTTCATGTTAGTTTTCATAGCAAATACCGCTATAAGGTCTTGTCTCTACCTCCACTGAACAGAACACACACATGCAAACACTAGGTGTATATGTTTGTATGCGTGTGCCCCATAGAGGGACTCCATAATAGACACAATAACAGAAACTCACAGCATACACATACTTCTATATAAGCTATAATCAACAAGACCCTCGACATGTTTAAAGTGGCCTAAATGAGGCATGACCCATTGCTGCTGGGTGATCACAGTGGATCTTTACATGGAGGGTTGCACAGCCAAACACATATTAGGCAAAGAAAACAAACCTCCATCATTGGAAGAAAACAATTTGTGACCGTTGTTTGGAGTATCCCCTCCAAAACACATTTGTTTTAGCGTTTGAGAGATGGAGTCAGGATGAGAAGAAACATGGAGAACTGTGAATACACAAAGTTTGCAAAAGCAGGGTATGAATGAGCTTAGGAGAGAACAGGATAAACTAGCAGAGCTGTGCAGAAATGCATACAAGCTCTGCTCCTGTTATCATCATTTTACCAGTGGCAGCTTGTCTCTTTTGTTGTCTCAACCCCTTTGATATTCTCTTCTTGATCCCTTAACCAAGCAAACCTGCAGCAGCTCACTAGTGATTAGCTAGCTATCTGAGTTTCAAGGTTCAAACACACACCATGTACAAAGCGACTTGCAGAGGACAAATGCAGGAGAGAGCTGGAGATGTATTTTTCCTATTTTCTTCATCTTGACATTTATTGAGGAAACTAAAGGTTTTCAAGCTACTTTCAAGAACCTTAAGGTCACAAGGGCATTCCTCTTTCTGCTGTGTTTGCTACCAATGCAGCCATACTGAGAGTGTGAGTGCTTCTCTATCTTCCATGGCTTCTATAGATATGGTGTCAAAGAAGTCAGATAGGCTAAAAGGTCATCTAGCCAGTGGTGTTGGGTTTCCAGCCTGGTAAACGTTATGTCTTTAACACACCATTTTCTCCGCCTTTTTGTCAATGTTAATAAAAGTAGCCAATCCCCAGAGAACCTAAACTCAATCCTGAAAGCACCATTAAAAAAAAGAAAAGGAACACCAATCCTATAATGTAGCATCCCTTTTAGTGGGAAGAGCTCATCTGTGTGTGTGCCCTCAGGCTGTATTGGACAGTCAAATGAAACTTTACTGTGTGCTACAAATGTCCAGGGGTTAAAAGCAGAAGATTCATTTGACTGCTTTGTTCCTCCATTTCTGATTACTATGGCACATTTCAGTGCCAAGAAAGCATGAACAGTCTTACAAGACCCAGCAAATGCAAGTAAAAATCATGTAATTCATTTGGTTCGAAAGGAGTAATCTCATCATGCGAAGGACAAGAGAGGACAATCTAAAGGAAAGGAAACGAGCACAGATACAGCGCAGCAGGGAAATGCCGTCATTTTTCATACTTTGTGTATGAAACTCAATCAACCCAGTGCAAATGCCATGTAAATGTGGGTTTTCATGAAGCTTATAAGTAAAGCCTGCCAACAGTGGACACGCAGAAGCCAGGGTGCATGTTCAACACAATGGGATTGCAAGTTAGAGCTGCGGAGGATGCAACAGTTCAAGGGAACACAAATGACATCTGCTCTAATCGGAAGCAGGGAATTATCCTCACACTCGGTATTCCGCACCACGATCCACTTGGCCATTGTTTCTAGTTAGTGTAGCGAATGACTGAGAGAAGCAGGGAGACAAAGAGAGGGGGAGAGTGAGGCAAAGAGAGGGAGTTTGCCCATAGACCCAGGCTGCCTCGAACCTGCCTTTGTTTTCATCAGAAGCAGCCGTGGCTCTCCTGGGAGAGTTTGACGGACAGCTCTCTGTATGCCAGTCTATTATGTGATTCCTATCACACAACAGAAGCCTCAGTGCTCTGCTCCTCATCTTCCTCTTATTCAGAGGGATGAAAATACATATTCCCCCATTGCATACAGACACGAGTTTGTCACTCCCCACACGTCTGGAGGACAAATGAAAATCATCAAAATGAAATACACAAAAAGAAAAACAATCAAACCAAATAGGGGGGAAGTGCACCTGGATTGTGTGACGGCCAAACACAAAAAAAGCCAGCGTGCTGTGTTTCTTTGCCAGAATAAGGGCAAGGACAGTTAATTGGAGAAGATCCATTGCTATTAAACGTTAAAGAGGAGGTATGGCAAACTCCATGAATAAATCAGCAGTGGTTATTACAGGAACAGGAGACCATAGTATAATTAGAGCAACTAAAACTATGCTTCCCAGCCATTATTCACCACGGGCACTTGCATGTAAAGATCTGTGTACAGACAGGGGCTCCATTACACATAATTTATTCAGAGAGCCAGGGCTTTAAGCAGGGCGGTAAAAGGGTAATTATGTTAAAAATAGCCTCCAAGGTGGTCGGGGGAAGGCCGTGTCCAGGTATCCCATTGGAAGTGAGGCGTCCCTGGGTCGACCGGGCTACTATTTCTCTGAGAGTTGTGGATCATTAGCCCGACAGAGGACGTCCTCTGTACGCTGGGTCACAGAGGAATCATCATTAGCCCAACTGTTTCATATCTCAATCAAGGATGCTCAATACTGTCCTGCGGTTGTGCATGTAATCAGTAAAATGTTTGTTGAAAAGAAAAATGACAACTACTTTTTTATTGCTGCATAATTGAAATAACTTATAAGGTGAGGTGTAATATATGTGATTTGCAAAAGGCACTTTAATTAGTGCTCTGAAAAAGAGTCAAAAATATTCCCCTGTGACTCAGTGATTAACTCATTATGTTTTAATTTCATAGAGGGTAAGCACTTTAAAATGCTCCAACCACAGCTCAAAACAGCCCGACTATGATGGATCAATTGCAAAGAGATGAAGAGGCCAAATGGCAATGAGTGTCTCTTTATTGCAAATGCCACTCCATCCAACCCTACACAAATCCTGAGTAATGAGTGTTTTTTCTTCACTCGTTTGCACTGCAGAACGAGCACAATGGCACAGGTTCACACATTAGTTGCCAAGTCTCTATTCAACACCATGCAACTCCCTCTCAGCATTATGAAAACCCTCTTTTGATCATGCTGCAATTACCTCAAACAACTCTCTCCTCCATATGTGACTAAAGGTGCCAAGATCACACGGCCAATAATGGTTGGTTATGAGCTGGTTATTGAGAAAGTGTGGGGCTGTGTTTCCAATCTCCGGTAATGACCCATGGAAACAGATGAACTATCATAGCATCCATTGTAATAACTGTGACAGTATTGGGTGGATTCAGGCATGGTTGCTTACCTTCATTTGTTCTTGTGCTGCAGTTAATCTCATCTGCTACTGTTAAAGAGCATAAACAAGTAAGATTGGTTAGTGCCATCTGTACCATGATGGCGAGAATATGCAAAGAAGAAAGAGACAGAATCAGAAAGTGCAGGGTAGAAGCTGAATAGTGATGTAAGAACAGATATCAGACTCCATGGAAGGACCTGTCTATCATAAGGCTTACAAGGCAAAGTGTCTGAAATGTGCTAATGTATTACTGCCAGCCGTAGCACCTCACATCTCTTTCTTCCCTTTTCTACCCTCACTCAATCTTATTCCACATCTAAATGGGATTGAACAGGGGGGTGTCTGACCAGTTTAGCCTATTTCAACAATGATGGGCTTCAAAGTCATGAAATCCATCTGCTGATGTGATTTGCAAGCACCTGAAACATGATTAAAAGAAGGGGGGGGGGGGGAATCAAGTGACAGAATAAAATGAGAGTCTGTAGGGGAAAGCATTGTCGAGCATGTTAGTCCGTTCAGCTTTGAAAGCACAAAACTGATTTATTTAAGTGTTAATGGAAAGTAGGTATTCTTACACCTGCTCATGCACTACTATGCAACTACTCACGACAAACTGCAATGTCCAACAGTGTGCAATTGAAAAGGAATAAGGATATATTCTGGCCTCTTTATTTTCAATTATATTATACATAACCCATAGGCCATTTTTCATTGTGTGTCTTTGATGTAAAAACGTAATTAAAATAATCAACAGCAGTAGGCGCCTTTGAGATATACTGTATGGAACATTTGTGACATCAGATACAAATCATTAAATGTAGCTTTCATTTTGAACTCACACTAGAGCTTGTGTTCCATGTATTGACTGAAACATTTCCCCTCCAGGAACTCATGTCAGTTACTAGAGTTATTATATGAGCAGAACAAGTAGGTTATTTCCCTGCAACATTGGAACGCTGTGTTATTCTCTCTAATAGATTATGATTAGATATTGGCAAGGATTTCTGTAAGCAGGATATTCACATACTCAACTGGCACCTGCAGGTAGAGAAGGGGAATTTGAGTAATACATTGTAAACACTGATCTTGAGAACTAAGACGACATACAGTAATAGATAAATCATTTTGTAAAAAATCAATAACGTTAGTTATCCCAAGAGTGAGGCATTGTCTTGAGTAAAACACACTGCTGTTTCTTAGAGCTAATCAAATTCACAAATACATGCTGATGCCAACTTGGAACAATTAAGTAGCTTTTTTGATTAAATGAATTGATAAAATATGCATTTGCAATGATGAGAACGCCATCATGGAGCGATCTTCGCATCCTGTCCATTCTGCTCACTTACTGTACTCAGTTATAGCCAATTATACTTGTACTCGATACTAAGAACATAATGGAAATGATTTTTATGCTGGAATAATTGCTCAGTGAAACCTTTAGGATGGCCTACTGTTATCTTTCTGCTAAGCAGCACTTTCCACTGAAAGTTTGTGTTGTCTGGGTTCACTTTGTAGAAAAGTTTTGAGGGCGTACAAAGGGTAGTACTAACACAGTGAAGGTGGATCCCACAGAGCTGAGTGCAGTGGCCTGAACCTGCACTGGTCTGTGGGAGAGTCAAAGATTCCTACAGTTCTCTGGGCTCCATGTGGAAAAGAGTAGACTGTTATCTGTTATGATTAGCCAATGATGCGAGAGAAGGCAGCTTCTGCTTCAGTCTCAGTGGGAGAGGCTCTGAACTCACACCATCTTCTTCTTTAGATACAGACTGTGTGTTTGAGGGTGTGCCTGCACATGCAAGCATCTCACCGGCCTCCCCATTAGACAGTCACTAAAGCAGTCATTTTGTTCTTGCTTCTTGTGTTTCACCTATGCTCTACTGGACACAACACCATAGGGGATGGATGCCAAAGAGGAGAAGTGCTGGCTGGGCAGGAATAAAAGGAGTGTGTGTGTGTGTGTGTGTGTGTGTGTGTGTGTGTGTGTGTGTGTGTGTGTGTGTGTGTGTGTGTGTGTGTGTGTGTGTGTGTGTGTGTGTGTGTGTGTGTGTGTGTGTGTGTGTGTGTGTGTGTGTGTGTGTGTGTGTGTGTGTGTGTGTGGTGTGTGTGTGTGTGTGTGTGTGTGTGTGTGTGTGTGTGTGTGTGTGTGTGTGTAGGGGGTATTTCTGCTTTGAAAGTGTGTCCAATCTCATAGTAATGCATCTTGTACTGACCCAGTCCTAAAGGGTAAGATACATTGAGGGCTTGAGGAGTCAAAGGTTACAGTAAGATCTATTTCATCAACACTTTGGGGTGGCCAACAGGAATGGTCAAAGAATCATACCAGCTCTTGTGAAAACACAGTTGAAGTTGTCATTCAGCAGAGGCTAACTTTGTAGTTAACCTCATTTACCTCATTTATTATATTATTTATCTTTTCAAGCACACACTTTTCCCATTCATTGAGTGATTGCTACTCACATCTCAGGGGTGCATTTTACTTTGTTGTAGTGAAACGGCTAAGTACTTAGATCTCAAGATGAAGGCCAGAAACTGAAAGTAACAACGACCTTAAAAGGAAAAGTTCTGTTGGTAAATATGCTTATTCACTTTTTGATGAAAGGTAGATGAGAAGAATGAAACCACTAAAACTGCTCTGCCAAATAACTCCTTATAGTACAAAGCTAGCTGTGTCCAAAGGTGAGAAAACAACACATCTATAGATCACATGTTTTATCTTATCTGTGTAATTTTAGGCATTCAAATGTACATGTTTGAACAATACTTTGCCATTCTACAGGTTGTTAAGTCTCAAACTATTGTTGGGCCAGGACAGCAACTAGCAGTGTGACTGATTAACAGTGAAGTACATAAGCAAGTGTTGATATTAAACTATTGAACCCATACATGTGTGATTGTGCATGTGTAAAGTAGAACATATCATTTACCTAGATCCATACTCTTGGACTTGCGCGTCTTGACGATCTCCAACTCAGCAGCATTCTCAAACTGTTTGATGCGTTTTTCAGACATACTCTGGCGTCCGAAGCCCTCCCTCTGGAACGATGCGTCAGGGTTTGCGTCTGGACTGAGCGAGCTACAGTTCATGAGGAAGAATAGAAGTATGTTATCAAATATTGCAAATGCAGGGTCATTCCCAAAGCATACCCTTTAATCTGATGATTAATCCAATGAAAGATATATTTCGTAATCATCTATATCAACTTGCAGTATATTGCTAGGGGCCATCCTTATAATAAGACAGGGAAATACAATCTACTTATTAATATTCATACAGTGCCAATCCTGAGCCCAAACACACGCTCACTATCAGACAATGACCATCGACATTCAATACTCGCACACGCATTAACAGTCAGTTTCAATCCTTCATTTCAATGACTATTCTAATCAAGGACACGTCCACCTCTGGCTGGGTGGATCAGGACGTGTTACAATTGGGTAAAAGAGGCCTGGCGTAGATGTGTGATCCCCCATTGAGGTGAGGGTGTTCCGGGGTCATGGCCACTCAATAACCCCCCTCCCTCAATATGTCTGGAGCAGAGGCAGTGCCCGGCCCACCATAGTGCTCTCCCTTTGAGATCCTCTATCTCTGTCTGGATCTTAATTGAAAATCGGAGGGGAATGGGGAAAGGAGGTTGGGAGAGGGGGACACTGATATTTGCATACAGAAGAGTGCATTTACAATTAAGGTGAGAACATCCTGCCATTTGAGGAGAGAAAGAGGGGACGAGATTCAGTGCTCATGGAGTCTAATACATATGATATGGTTGAAAGAACACTGTCACTGTTTCCTTTGTTCTGATGATGATCATAAATGATAACCTTTCAAGGGTGTTTGTATTTAAGCCTCTAGAGATCCTTTTTAGAGACTGCATCAGAAATTCCATCAGATGATCTGATCCCTGGTAAATAACAGTGGAAAGCTATTGTCCTGAAATGGGAGTTATAAACTGGAATAGATAATATGTTTTTTTTGACAATTATTCCCTATTGGAGCAGGTGCAACTTAAAGAACCCTTCCACTTTTGTAATATCACTTAACAGCATCTGCAGACCTGCTGGCACTTGTTTGCATGTAAACCATTCTGATTTGCATTGTCAACCCCACTTAACAAAAGAGCTGCTTCATGTGTCACAGAGGGACCGGCGTCAACGTGTCACTTTGCTGTCGACCATACCTGACAATCCCAACTAAGATCAGAGCGCCTCACAGGACCGACTCCAGCTGACACAGGAAGAGACGGAGGTGGAGCAGGAAGAGAGGAATGACAGCACAGATGTATTATTCATTTATTCATCATCCCTCGCTATTCTCCTCTCATCGTTTCCGAGCCCGGCAAAAACAGTCTGCCCTCTCTTTTTCTGTCTCGACAAATGTCATCTGTCGGAGCGTGACTGAGACGGTGCGGGAGAGAAAGGACGTATTTTCAGCCTGAATTTAGATTTCATTCACTCGTGCCAGTATTGTGTTTTTGGGGCCAATTGAACACTCATACAACATGGACAAAGAAGACAATCGAGAGGGCAGCAGGTGGGATCATGCACAGCCCTGTCATTCAGGTAGAGCGAGTTGGCGAGTATATGACTGTTTGTGAGAGCAATTAGAGACACAGGCAGTTGGAATGAATCAGAATCCGGCCTGACAGAGCAACACATGGTGAGAAACCTGTGGGAAGTAACAGGGAAATTCACTCAGTAGGCCTTAAGATGTGTTATTTCAAGCTGCTGCCTGTTTTAACACTGCCTAAATGCCTAAAGTAGACAATCATGTTGCTTGGCTCATTATTCAAGCCGGAGATACCTGCGGTCTCACGCCTAAGTTGGCAGTACACCACTACACACAATTTTTTTAACTTGAGCCCCAATATAGCCAGGCGGTTCACACCAGCAAACCCTTGTCACAGGTTGAACATCTCTTCCAATCAAAAACTTAAAAAATAAACGCAAACCAGGAAATATGTCTGGTATTAAAGGGGACCTATCATGCAAAATGCACTTTTGTACGTCTTTTATACATGAATATGTGTCCCCGGTGTTCCAGGGAACTCACCAAGTGTCAGAAAACACAACCCTCTCTATTTTCCTCCATACCCAAATCTCTAAAAAAGGGGCTGCAACGGATCAGATAAAAACTGATCCAGATTTGAACACTGTCCTGACGTCAGGACAGTAGCGCTACGGCTATTGGGCCAACTCCACCAATCAGGAGGAGACAGTCACGGCCATTGCCGTTCGAAAGCGCTGGAGACGCTGTAGTACATAGGCCAGGCCTGTAGGTGGTGCTGTTCTCACAGAATCAGCCCTTGCTAAAACAGAGCTAAAAAAGTGCAAATTGAGCGAAATGAGGCATGGCTAGCATGCATGATCTGTTTGGTATTTTGAAAAGAAAAAGGATAAATATGCCTTATATAGGTATGGTCTTACACTATATTATTCAAATATAGCATGATAGGTCCACTTTAAATTAAGCATGTAAAAGTTGGAATTCATCTTCTATTCTACTTTAAGCTGACACAGTTTCACAGCTACTACAGTCCATTAATAGAAATACGGCACCCAATTACAGATCTGGTATTCACTTTCTACTGGTTATTAATTTCCCCATAGAAATTCCTGTTGTAATGAGATACTGTTTGAAAGTCTCTTTGCTTTGATCACGATATGTCTTAAGCTCCAATGCAGTCTTGTGATGGAGGAAAATCCAATGAATATGTTGAGTCTATGAAGGTGAGACCCTTATTGGACTTGACCAATGAATGCCATATTTTGGTGGAAATTGTATTGGATGGATGGAACAATTAAATAGCTTGTCCATGTGAACTCCCAGAGAAGTTAAATAATCTCCAAATTGGCACCATTTCTTCTTCAGACCGTCCGTCCCTTCCATGCCTCTGGCCTATCTTTAATAGTGGGTCCAATCCATTTGGATAATAATTCCCTCATCTCTGCTTCTTTAAGCAGTGTTTAAAAGTAATTTTCACCATTCAGAGCAGATGCTCTCCCCCTGCTCAAAGTCTTCCCATCATCTAAAATGAACTAGCGCTGAGGATTGCTCACAGGCAAATCCACAGCTTTAACTTGCATTTCACATCAACTTGTTCCTGTCTCCGTCTCCCTCGCAGAAAGTTAAGTGTGTCAAAGTGAACATCGGCCTTGTAGCTAAGTGGTGTGTGCTAAAAGCCGTCTGTGCTCACACTTTACCCAGGTGAATTATGTATTTTTTTTTCTTTCTCTCAACTCACAAACCTCCTTACCCTTATTTAAAAAACAACCCCAAAGAGGTAAATCGTAAAGAGTCCTCCTTCTTAGAAAGGTGCAGCTTGGTTTGATCGACTAGCTGGGGGTGGTGTGCATAAGTTGCTACTCCTCAGAGAGGGGGCAAGAGGTGCAGAGCCCCGGTAAGGTGCTTCTGAAATGCTTCTTCGGAGGTTTGGAGGAGGCCGATTCAGCTGACCGCATGGATGCATACAGTAGCTGGGCCAGAGAGCTTGGAGCTGCCTTCAATCATTGAATACAGCCCTGCATGAGAAGTCAGTGCAGAACTCTGTCCTGCTGGCATGTGCACCAGCAGACACTAGATAGTTGAAATCATTTATAGAAACAGTTGAGCAGAAAGGGCTTCTCTCCATTTGAAACAATTGTCTCAAATATGAATGTACTGTAAAAACGATGGCTCTGATTACCACCTTTATTTTACTCGCTCAATTGCACCTATTAAACATTGGACTTAAACCTGGGTATAAAGGCCCTTAAATATAATGTTCCCAGAGTGGAGCAACTGCGCATATGATTTGCGGTAATATCCTATTAATTATGATGAAGTTGCAGAGAGCGACAGATAGGGAGAGAAAAAGAAAGAGATCAATTAAGACCTCTTTGTCTGTTGGCTGACTCCTACGTAGACCTCATTCATTCCGTGCCTGGTATATCATGGGAGCTTTACATGAACACATTTAAGCGAAAATAAAAAAAGGCACGTATCACATGCTTGTAGCAATGGCGCACCATTGAGACATGGTTGATATTCATTAAGGTAGAGGAAAACATTTGCATTTAAGAAAAGAACAATGCCTGAAATGCATATGTGTGTATGTGTGCATGTGTGTGTGTGTTTTGCCCAGAGTCACTTCCAACTTAAATGGACATCTGAGATTACTAAAATAGCGTGTGTACGCACTACAGGGCTGTTTGCATTTATGTAGTTATGCTAATAGCTTGATGGGAAAAACACATGTGCCTAATAGAGCACTTGTGATTCTTAGTTACATTACTGATGATAGAGACTATTATGGAGCCAACTGAAGTAGGCAGTCTGCCTGCAATGTTAGTTTGGAAGTTTGTTTGTTCATGTCTATGCGGACCTTTTCCACTTTATATGTTAATTTGGGAAATTGTTTACCAGCCAATGTGTATCTAAACACTCGTGAGACCGAGGGCGTCTGTGCTGCAATGTGTGTGTATGTTTGTCAGGAGTCCTTTTCCATCTCTGCTGGTTGACAGACTGTGTCAGAGCTGCCTAGGAAATTATGTTTCCACCTGTGACACAGTCTCTCTTTCTTCATCCCTGTCCCTCTCGCTGTCCATTTCTCTTCCCTCTCAACTTAATCAGAATTGACACCTCTCTTCCACTTTGTCAACTACATCCAGTTTGAGGTTTAAGACAAGGGGACAGTAGTAGTCTAGTTATACAAAGGTTGTAACAGTGCCCCTGGTGGTATTGACAGATATAAAGAATGAAACTTAAGGGTTTTAAATAATGCATTATAGCCATACTATCAAATCAATCAACATATGATTGAAAGAATAGCACTGTATTACTCATATTATGAGGGGGCTGATTTGAACTGAACATGCATTATGTGTTCCTGCAGGTAATACCACTTATCTTAGGTGGTATGCAGAGCAGTGCTGATAACAGTAGTTGGTATGGTAGTTACAGTATGTGTGCCACAGGCTATCTGGTTGTAGTTAGTTACTTGCTCAATGTGAGACATAACACTTCATAAACTTCAGACTAATGAGATGCTAGGGAAACACTCAGGCTTTTTACACACTTTAGAGTACTGCCCTCCTGCTCTTGCATATGTTAGAATAATCTTTGTTCACTAGTTAAGAAGATGCAAGTATTATTTCTACATTCCTACTGATAATAACAAAATACCATTTACAAAATCACAGTTCAAACATTCTTCACTTTTAATGAATTATGTTGAAAAACTGCAAACTTCTGTTCACACTCTAATGTTGCATTAGAGTAAGGAGTGTAAGGATCCAATGTTCTAATGGATTAGGTATTGCATTGTGTTATTACAAAGGCCACAACTGGTAGGCTTATTCTTTTTTTCAATGGTAAAAGTTGGACGTGAATTTTTAAATGACACCTCAGGGACGATTATATAAACCAAAGAGGGAGTATTTTAATCAAAGAAAAATGTCCCACTTATCTCATTGCAATGACATGCTTTACTCTCTAGAGACCTGAACAAGTAGGATGATGCAGCCAGCACCAAAACTGATTGAGCAACACCTTATCACCAACATCTTTAAATGACATGATCTGCGATTTTTTTTAAACTATAATTTCTGAGATCTTGATTTTTTATTAACAACAAGCTTATTATTTGAAACTAACTTTTCCAAATGGGAAGGACTAGGACCCAGTACAATGGAACAGACAAACCCTACAACTGCACTTCATCAACATCTGGTATGAAAACCAGGTGGAAACTATAAACACGTCTTTGCATTTCAGATGAATCTGCTTGAATTAGGAGCTGCCACGATTATACACTAAATTGTGGTTCTGACACTGCTCTACATTCCATTCCTGAGAGAAAAACCTTTTATCTTCTAATTTATCCAGATAATGCTGCAAAGTCCCGCTATCATCCAGTGTGTGTTATCTGTTTTACTGTAAATCATTTAGACGTGGTTCTTCCTGTTTGGCTTTGGATTCAAACTAATGAAGGAGGAGGCAGACACTGCGAAGGGAATTAATGGGACAGGTCAGGACCCAATGCTCAATTGAACTTTGAGCAGATATGCAAAGTAATAACTTACAACCTTTATTTATACAGTGAAACCTGACAGAAGACACATGCTGGTTTCCACCAATTCCCTGGGTCACAACACACACACCTCAGCCTAATACATCTGGCTGAAAAGTAGCCAAATCATTGCAATGGATTTATTCTTAAAAGTATCTCAATAGAAGGTGTACATTTTACTATACTACCTCTAACAGTTTGAACCAGCAACTTCTATCCACAAGCCACTTTCCACAATCTTAATACTACCACCACCTCACTGATAAAACTGAGAAGGAGTATTAATAGCACAACTAATAAAACAGTCTGTAATAGAGCAGCAACCAATAAAAACGTGGATATGTGTACATTAGCATTTTAACAGAGATCTAAAAGCATGGAGCTGTCATATTTATAGCCCTATGCCTTAGGCTTAGTTTTATGATCATTTGAGGCCCGTAAAGAGGTGCTAGAATGACAGTTCATAACAACATGGCAGGTATACAGACAAGTACCTGTACAACTTGAGCTAACCAGAACAATATACACACAAATATGCAGCATAAACACTCATTAGGTGTTGGCTAGGGATGCCAAGAAAAATAAGTAGGTCAATTATTGTGTCTTGTATGAGATGGGATTCTGCCTCCAAACAACCATTTATCTAAGGGGCCTACACATTAACCCACTAACACATGAGCGATTATTCACTGGAAACCTGCTGAGGAGAGGACTGAGCAGAAAGGACATATTGCAGAGGGAGAGATAAGTATGTACATTTACAAATTAAACTACAGAGAGGTGAGTCGATTATAAAAGAACAGGGTTGTTTTAATTGATTTTTGTTTACATTAGTCGCTCTTTACTTTATAATAACCACTAGCTTACCAGATGCTGAAAGGGCATTTTGATTACCGCTACATTAACAGAGTAAGGATTAAATACAATTGTACAAGCCTGGCTATTCCATGTTCGAACAAAGTCACATACTGAACAGTGCTTCTGTAGACGAGAAAAAATACATTAATAAAGGGAAACAAGAGTAGAAAGAGAGCCTGAAAATCTGAGTTTGTTAAATTCCACCGGGTGAGAAAAAGACAGAAATACAGAGAGCCTGAATTACAATGATTTTACAAGCCAACCAGCCACTTGTGTTTTGTGTATGCACTGTAGGTGTATAACTGGGGCCATGAGGGAGGAAAGCTGCATAATACTGGAGGCCAGAGGTGAGACTTTCACAGCTCCCCACAATACATATTCAATACGTTCTGGGCCCTGGCTGCACTGTTGCGAGAGCTTAATTAAAAAGTAACAGTTCCAATACAGTGGAGTCTGGCTGACCCACATCCCCTGCTGGCTCAGTATGCCTGTTAACACTGCGTGTGTATGTGTGCGTGCATCTGTCTATGTGTGTGTGTGGGATATTGGGAGCGCTTGAAAAGGAAAATGAGAAACAGTAAAAGTCTATCAGAAAAACGATACACACTTCACTTGCTACGTTTAAGCAGCTGTTAGCATCTAAATGGAAGAGATTGTGTGTTCATGTGTGTCTGTGTGGGTTTGTGGGTGTGTGTGTGTGTGTGTGTGTGTGTGAGAGTGACTTTAAGGACATGAATTATTCACAATAACCCTAGGCAGTAGTATATAGCACACTTCTGCCTAGCGTGTACACGTCACATGTGTGTGTGTAAGTCAGTGTATTTGTGGAATTCTTATGCGTGTGTGTGGGTATGATGTGTGAGAGAAGTTTGAGTGTGGTTCAGCCATATGCTGTGGACCTAATCCACTATGACAAACCTCTGACATCACATGAACAACAGGCATGCTGAGCAAATCTACTCATTCATTATTAATGAGAGTGAGAGAGAGAGTGAGAGAGTAGAGAGTATCTGGGGAAAAATAAATACAAATAATAAAAAAATAAACTGAGTGACTATTCATGGCAACCAGCATTTCATCTTGAAAAAGCACTCCTTTTCAAATAGAAATATGACTCACCATAACAACTGAAAAGGTAGGAGTTTAAAACAAACTATGTTAAGAGAAAAAGCGGTCTCTGACTTAAAATGAAATAAAACGAGTATGAGGACATGATTTGACATAATGTCTTGTTTTTATATTTCCTGTACCTCTCCAATAAGGTCATACAGGAAATGCCATGAGTCATTTTTTACATGAGTGATTCGTTTAAGGATGGACAGCTATAACTTCCTGTGCCTAAAAGCAGCCTTTAAGTAATAACAATAAAAGAAAGACAAGCACTGAGCGGTGCTGCAGCGCTGAAATCACTGTTTGTCCCTGAAGAAACATAGTTATCTGACAAGGTTGATAAGACATTGCCTCATATTTTATTTTAGACAGGGGGCTGAAATCCCAAGGCAGGTTGGAGTTGGGGAGGTGGAGGCACTGAATGGTTGTTTACCCAGTCTGATTGCTGCTGGGTCATTTCATATTTAATTTACACACAAACTCCTAAAGAGCCGCACATGTAGGTTCCCATGAGTAGCACACATACACTAACACCTTACAAATGCCCATATTTACCAAAAATGTGCAAATAATCTTGGATGGGAAATGCATCCGTGAAAAACTGTCATTACTTTCTTATAACTTATATACTTAAATAGTCTGGTTTGCACCACTAAGGATAGTCATCAATATATGTAATAACTGTAGGCAATGACTTAAATAAAAAAGTAAGCATTTATAAAGATTCCTGTAAAATAACATATTTTCCACCAATCTATGGAGAATATTAAATAGATTGTCTGGTTTTCTGGATCCTTTCCGGTAACACAAAAAAATGAATGACCAGCAAAACAAACAAACACACACACAAAAACACACACACACACACACACTCTTACTTACTGTATGACTAATACTTATGATACTGCACAATCAATACGCTAACTGAAATGTTCTGCACATCGGCACATCCAGCTTTCTTCCACACCATCTTTTTCTGACCATCAAGTTATAAATAATTCAGCCAACTCCACGGCAATGTAAGTAAACCCGCTGCTCACCATTCATCCTGACCGGGCAGCTCGTGGAGCCAGGTCACCGGGTTCTCTCCCACAAAGACCATGTCATCGTGGGAACTGGAGGATGATTGGTCGGAAAGATGGGCAGGAAGCGTGGGCGGCCTATCGTCTTCGATCATCACTATGTCGTCCTGCGGCATGTTCACTGTTGGGGACAGCTGGTGGTTACCTGAGAGAGAGGGATATAGATTAGTTTCTTCACAATTATTTATTTAACACAACACTGCATCAATACTCAATCTTTTTTGGAATGAACAGTGTCTGATAGCAAGTTGACAAGTTAGACTGAGGAATTACGTGCACATGCTGAAGTAATTCATGCACACACACACTCCTCCATAGCCGTGTTTGTGTAACGCAACAATTATTTTCAGTAATTACCAAGATATACAGTACACACAGAGATAACTTTGGCCAAGATAATTGTATTATGGAGCTTTCATATCAGGACATGCCTGAAAGACAACCTTTCTGAAAAAAAGTTAATAATGGTGCTTATATGCTTCCATTTTGAAATGTTGCATACATACACAAATAATGTATGACAAGACAATATCAGAACAATTGTAACACTTGTGAAAAATATACAAAAATAGACTACAAAGCTCTTAAAGAAAGGTAGTATATTAACTATATATTGATATGTATATTATGCAAGAGTCTTGTCTTGACAAAAGTTGTAGCCCTGAGGAGTTGTATTCATTCTCTATCACTCTTCTCCAAGGACAAATATGATCAGGAGTAGAGCTCCCCTGATCTGTATTCTGGACTTCCGCACCCTTCCTGCTGAGGACTTATTTGAATCGCTACTTTGCTGCTCCTCAGGAGACAAAGTCAATGGGGAATGTTCTGTCGTGGTTAGCACTCCGCACCAAGGGCAGGAGAAGGGTTGTTCAGCGGCATGAGAAGTGGCATTACAATCCAGAGGAGGACGAGTCCCTCTGCAGATTGATCTGTGCATGACTTATATATGAAAGCAGAGAAAGACAAGTGACTTTAACCACACACCTGCTAGCTATTAGATATTGGTTTACAGAAATGCTGGACTTCCTGTGGCCCTTTGCTTTTGTTTCCATTATCGGAGAGCCGTTTTGCAAATGTAATAGCTTAGGAACAATTGTGTGTAATCACTAACAGCAGACAACAACATTTACCCTGGCAGCGTACCAACATGAATCTGAGAAGCATTTCATTTCAATGGGGCCAGACGACTGATAAATGCATATTGTGGAAGGAAATCTGAGCACCAATCCACGTGGCAATGAGGTGTATAGCGTAGTCCAGTTATTTTTCAGAGAGAAAAAGAAAATATAAGAAAAACAAGATAAAAATCAGAACAGCTGTGCAGCAGAAGGAAACCATGTTGGATAAATAACGTACCTCCCCCCCTTAAAAAAGCACAGGAACTATAAAATGTGTATAATCTGGGTTATTCTTCATAATGTGTCAGGAGTCTTATTATTCGCATGTGATGAGAGAGATGTATTATACCTGATGTGAATATGTTCCAACTAAAGGCTTCAAATACAGATCTTCAGGAGGCTACTTTACAATATATGTTCTATATCTTACAATCCTTTTACTCCCTTGAAACAACATACAGGAAAGGGAAAGTTGCTTTATACCAAAACTTTCCAAAAGTCTGCTTCTATCCACTACTTATCCATCTGTTAATTGATTCTTTTGGAAGGCTCATCCCTTTTGTCTATTGACTGCTCATCTAAACCAGTTAATATGTCTGCCAACACTGTACAGGTGGAATGAAGGCCATTTCTCACTCGGGCAGCTTGACAGAGGACCCTGGGTAATTGAATTCACCCTGTACTGTAAATTATCAGGACTGGACCATTGACAGTGATAAGCTTCAGGAAGTCGGCTAGACTAAGCTTGGCTATCACTTGCAAAGCAGGCAAACCCAGTAGAGAAATCATGAGTGAAAAAAAGCATTTCCTGTTACAGCCTTTGATCGTTACTATGTATTTACAAATAATGTGTTCATGGTTTGAAGGATCTAAGTATATTCTAGCTATTTTCTCTTAATAACATTATGTTGTGTGGCTTATCCTTGATACAATAGCTCTGGTAAATCATCGGATTTCTCGCACAACTCAACTAAGCCAGTTCTCAAACACTCTTCCATAGTCATCTTCTGTTTCTGTGTTACAGTCCTTTTAGCAAAAGTGCAGCAATGTCAAGAGGAAAATGCCCTGCGGCTGTGTGTTCTCCAGGTATTTCCTAAACCAATCTTTACTCTCCCTTGGCTTTTGAGTAGAATTACCTCTTGGTTGCATCAGCAACACTGAGAATTGCACTTCAGTAGCCACCTGGTACAGAAGAATTATATAGTCGGGAAGAGCTGTTTTGTCAAAAGAAGCACTATAAAAGCGTTGGTGTGCGTTTCACATACACAACACATGAACATTTCTTAGCATTCCCAATGTGCACTCTAATCACCTTACATTCACTCATGTCAGCAGAGCACTTTGCTAACAGAGGACACAGTTTTAATTAGAAACTCGGCAGGCTCCCCTCTCCTGGCTTAATGAAATATTTCCAGTCAGGACCTCTTGACACAAGTAGCCAGCGCTGCCGTTGAAGAGTTGTTAAAGTCATTCCACTTCTCCCTGGTGGACAGGTAAAGTTGGGGCCACGCTGATGACTGAACATAATTACAGCACTTGCTTTTCTGCAGGTGTCAGCATAATAAGCATAGAGGGAAATCACTCACTAATAAAATGTCAATGCAGTGCGCAATACTACATTTGATAAGACAAATACAAATAGTTTTGTTATGTGCTTAATGGCTGTTTGGTGACTGACAGATAATAGGCAAATGACAAGAGTGGAGAAATTAGGTGCATGCCCTCTTACTGTTTTACAACTAGTGTTTGACTTAGAGACTTTTACATGGGGTCAAATGAGGATGAATATCATTGAAAAAAAATGGTTCACAGAAGCCAGGTCTTTCACAAAGGCTTGTTTGGCATTTGTTAAAGAGCTTCTTAATAATGCTAACCACCCATGCAGCTAGGGAAAGAGTTCTCTGGCAACATGATTGTGCCACTGTGGTCTTTGTCACCCTGTAATTAAATATAGCTTTTCATGAGTCACGCTTACAGAAGCTGACACACACTACCCGACAGCTAAGAAACAACTCTTACATTCACCATCTATTCTGCTCAAAAACAAACGTACAATGCTGGGAGGGACTTTCTATGAGGCAGTCATATTTAATAAGGTTAAACAGGGTCAAAGTGTGATAACTGTGGCTGTTTATTTTAATGTCATTTGTTAGGCAGACATTTTGACTTGTCAGAGTAGCAAAAGGACTTATAACACTAACATGGCTTTGTTCTTTCATGTGTTCCAGTGAGAGTGACGGTTAGCCAATACTCACGATACCGGGAACCACACATTTAGGCAGCTAAAATGAATTTAGACACGATTCATTTAAGTAATTACACTTGTGCTTTTCATACAGTGTCAACATGTATTTTATGAAAAGGCTCATCGGGTCATGGAAAAAAATATTTAATTTGGTTTCAGTTTTGGTTGGTTTCAGAAGCACACGCAGCCCTCTGGCCAGCAATGCTCGGCGTGTGGAAGCTATTTCATGATATGGAAGCAGAGATGTTCTTCGTCCCTCTGGCAGAGAGGGGAGACAGAGACAGATGAGCTCTTTGGCTGAAGAGGCCACCTGGCTGCATCCATCCGAACGGATCAGAGCCTCACTCTCCTCTCTCTCTGCCCTCTGACCAAGCGTTGCCCGTTGAAACATTGAGCTGTAAGGTGAGAGGTCACACTAATAGCCCCACTCCATCTTCTTTTCTCTATGCAATTCCCTCCATTTCTGTCCATCAAACACTGTGACGCTTCTTTTTCTCTCTCAAGCACCCTCCTTCAGTGACTCTATGGCCTATTGATCTGACTGGAGGAGAGATCATTAGTTGATCATCGCTGCCACTGCTATCAGGTCCATACATGTATTGCAGCAGCTCATTATACTAGCACCCGATTCTTATGCTCACCAGGGGACATTGGGGGCATTTTCATGAACTTTCATACTGCAGTTTGGTTGATTTGGGCCAGCTTTAACACCAGCTTTGAAAATGGGCAACACACCAATAGTTTTAAAACCAACTAAAACAGTTCTAAATGTCCAATGAGTAAATGCAATTGATCAGAAAATGAGGACATATTCTATTGGTATATGTGATCATTTGTAAAGCTTCAAATAATACCACTTGTTTGGCATGTTGAGGGGTTCAAACCTTTTTAAAGGTCAACCTACAGTATCAACAGTATATAAGGAAGATTTGCCCTCCTCTCCTAGTGTGTTAGTTGTTAGAAACTTGCCATTCAATTAAAAGATACTTAAACATGTAATTATACAAATGGAATCTATTGTACAGTTTGTCCCTAAAGCAAAAAGGAAGTCTGGATAATTTTAAACCCAATACCTGGTGCATTGTACTGTGATCATGTGTGTGTGTTTCTTTCAAGCACAAACATGAATCTGTCTTATCACAACATTAGATAATTATATTTGAAATGTAGCCATGCTGAACTGCACACCCACTCGGCTGTTTTTACTCTGGTTAATTACACTCCTGCTCATGTAGAGGTTGGGAGGAGCCATGCCGAAAAACATGTGAGGTCACCAAACTTCATGGAACAAGCAGAATGATGAAGGAGAAAGTTCTCTTAGCATACCAGGTGCAAAAAAATCATGTGAAACCAATCAAGAACATTCTGTGCACACCCACACAGTGCAGGGAAGAGGGGTAATTAGACAAGTGATAACCCCTGTGTAGGTGGACCCATAAATAGTTGTGATGTTCAGAACTATACTTAAAAAATGGTGCTATTATAATATAGTGTTATCATTTAGACTTGAATGGTTATACAATTTGTATCATTTTTATTGGTCTCTGTGTCCCTTACGGCATTAACCTTTTTTGATGAAAAGCAGATTACAAAATGAATTATGCCAGGTTTCCATGGAGTTGCTTCAGTTTCAAGCTCCTGTTATTGTGCTTTGACCGACCGTGACACTCAATTATAAAAGTGTTACTACTAATGTTATGAGTCACAATTATGCACGTCATTTTATTTGGGACAATATGTTCAAATTGCTGCCTTAAGAAAGATTATAGGTGCTTTAAAAGTGTTTTGACATAATATTTTACAAAAGTGTGTGGCAAATACACCTTTTTCTCACCGGGGGCACGCTTACAGCAAGCAGTCTGGACACCAAATTAAGGGATGCTGAGCATACAGAGAGGAAGAGTCTGCAGTCGGTGAAATACTGGAGTTTAGGGGACAGCAGGGTCAAGTCCTGGGAAGACGGTCCCACTTAAACACCATTAGGGAAGACTCTGTGTCTGCCTGAGGACAGCCAGAGGTCAGTGTGTTCTTCTAATTGTGTGTGTGCTCTGCCCTTTTAATAATTACATATCGTCATAATAATTTAACCAAGTGACTAAAATGACGGAACTTTGCAGCCACAAACTTCTGTCAGTGATTCATTTTGGATTAGGGTCAATGTCTACAGGACTTTGCACACTGACCACCTACTTTCCTGTGTGAGAACAGCATGTGTCTGCCTGCATGGTTTTTCCACCTCCGGCCTCCCTATCCATCCCTCCCTCACTCCAGTGCCAGTCCAAGGTATGCTTTCTGACTTATGCATTCGGCCACACAGCCACGTTCACAGAAAGCCTCAGTCCAAGGGCCTCAATTTTCACCCCAGCGTGTGAACCCCGCTCCCAGCAGCACTTTTCAATTAAACAGAACGGAAGGCGAAGCCGAGTGTGATGCTAACGACCTTTGCGTCAAACCTCAGCTGTCGCTGTCAAACTGTGCAGATGCAGGCGATTTCACTCCATATTTACTTCCCCTTTAATTCACCTTTTCTTTCTTTCTGTTTTTCCTCCTTTGAGAGAGAAATCATCTCTGCTGATTCACTGCTTTCACCCCAAGGGCAAAAGGTGGGTGGGAGTAGAATGAAGGCAGCACAAGAAAAGAAAAGTGTCAGGAACTCATTTTATTTGAGCGGGGAGTCGAGCAGAACGTACTGTATGTTCACCACCTGCTAGCTGTGGATTCAGCCTGTGGCCATGATGCTGTGATGCATGGTGTGTGCATGTGTGAAGCCGAAGCTGACAATATCACAGCATCGCATGGTCTACTGAGGCAAACAGGGAATAGGATTACCTCTGACTATTGATCAGCTGAATGTGTGTGCCCACGGACAAACAAAACCGCACACAAAAAACTTCTGAATTACAGCCTTAAACACTACAGGGAAGATCAAGGCAAAGTGCCCTTACAATCAATGTAATGGTGCCATACCAGCTTAATAGCACCTCTCTCCTTCCTGTGCCATTTGGTGCTTTTCTTTGCTGTAACCATGGTAATCATAGTTCCTATAATTCTTTGAATTGTACCTTACCCTCCATGGAGACCAATAGGTATTCTTTCAGTTTTAGAAGGAAGGCAGCAAGCTACCTGTGACTGCTGGGAGTAAAACAAGCTGGTCCAGATTCTGATCAATACCTGGCTGAGTTAAGATAAGGCAGTAATAGAACTCTCCAGATGCTTTGAACAGAAAATAGAGAATGTAGCAATAACAATATTAGTTTGGCTGAACTATGTAGTTTACAATTCTGCTGTATTGACTTGCTTTCATCTGCTATAACTCACAATCAGAGTCAGATTTTAATTCTTAAGCAGTAAAAACCTTCCATCCTAGTTACCTCTGAGCCTTTGACAAAAGCAGTACAGGCAGAATAATGGATCAATCGAGAGGAAGTGATTTAGTTAGAGAGTCCGACTCTCCGCTGTCTTTGGAGATGTAAAATGTCTCAGAGTTTTGTCAGTAATCACTATTTGCTCTTAAGGAAAAATGTATGGCTTGCATTAGTGTAAACAGGCTCTAACCTTATGGAGAAGTTGTACTTGAGAGTGCCAAGTATGTGTGTCAAGCTATATCTATATCCTCCCGTATCCCAAACCTCACGTCTTGCTTACGACTCGGTAATTCAGCAGGTCTAGATACACTCGGCATCCAGCTGTCAGTCAAGCCCTAGTGGCTGTGTACTTTGTGACCTTGCCAAGCTGATCCCAGCATCTGTCCTCTAACCATTACTGTCACATCTCACACACCAGGCAATATGTCTGAGCACGTCTGAAATAACATATAGAAGAAGATAGAGAGTGGAAACAGCTACTGTCTATCAAGCCTGCAGAAAAGTAGTATCCACACATACAAATACATTTGAACTAGTCGTACTGAGTGAGGAGACGGCGAGATTATAATGTTACAATGTCTCCAAGTCTGATTATCTATAACCTTATTTCAAACTAAAGTGGGTAAGTGTACTAGTACAAGAGAGGGAAAGAATAAAAATCCACTTTTAATGAATATGAATGAGTAAGATATGCCAGGAATACTGACACGTTTAACTTTCAAAGTCAATTGTATGACATTTGATTAAGGTTAACTAAATCTCAGCTCTCTTTTGTCAATGAGATGCAAGGTCATTGCCACTCGCTTTTCTGCCAGAAGAATGGCAAAAAAAAAGATCAGATACACAGCAAAAGGCAAGAAGTGGCCAAACTCTAGGAAGCAGCATATAACTGAATCTCTTCCTCAGGTGCTGCATTGTACCTGAGTGCGGTGGTGTTGCTCTGATGAATATAAACTCAACTCCGACTGTATCATACATTTAAATAACGGAATTGTGTCAAGACCTGTCACAAAATGTAGGCTCAGGTTAATGAAGGCACGACTCAGAGACAGCCTCTAGACAGAAAAGAAAAGGAACTGACATTTTGTTGCCTCAAGACAAGTCAAGTCAAAGATCTGAGACTCCGCTGAGCTTTGGCTGTGATAACTTACTGCTTCAGCACCCACTCCCCCCCAACCCACAAAACTTTTCCACTTGGCTCATTTGACTCCCACTCGGCAGGATGACATGAGTGTCGGGCGCCCTTGAAGTTTCAATGGCAAGGAACTTTTCCATCAGCGCGCCCACATTTGCCGCTTATGATCACAGCGGCGTTCTGAAAAGCCTGCGTCGGAAAAGCCATTGGAATAAATAAGCCAAACTGAGGGGGAAAGACACGATGAAAGGGTGAAAAAAAAAGAAGGGGAGAGACAGACACAGAGGGGGAGAGAGTGTCAGGGGCAAGCCCTATTGATCTGGAGGCTTAATTAACCATCAGATGCCTCTGACACAGCCTCTGATCTCCTACGATCAGTGGCAGAGTGGCACCGCTCTGGGGGAGATGGTGGGGAGGAGATAGGGCGGAAAAGGGAGAATGGATGGAAGAAGGGCAGAAAGTGTAGATTGTTGACAGATTACAAATCCACTCCATCTGAGAAGAGGAGGGTGGACAGGTGGGAGGTGAAAGAGGAGAGAGAGTGAGGGACTAGGAGATCATGAGACTGTGGAGAGAATAAAACGTGAAAGGAGGAGTTCAGAGAAAGAAACATATAGGAAATTAGGGGAAGGAGAGAAGGAGTGCACAAAGTCTACTGAGTGTTTCATGAAAATGGGATTTGTTTGACTACACTGCATCACCCTCCACAAACACACCCGCCCCCAACACCGATGCAATCATCCAGCCTCTGAGCGTATGCATATGTGAAGGGTCTGTCGATGTTGGGATGACAGCAGTGACTGACCGAGGATTGAATTGCCAATTCTAATACACCTGAAGAGAGGAGATCTTAGCACGCTGATGTCAACTTGGTGAAATGGAAATTGACCCGAGTGCGGGAGCGGAGTGAAGGCAGGGAGGATTGGGGTTGACGTTAATCCCTGATAGTGAAATAGCGTACCTCGAGATGCAGAGCAGTGAGGGGGGGGGGTGAGGGTTTGAAGGTGATGCTGGTTGGGGGTTTAGGGGAAGGAGATAGGAGAAGCACATAAGGGCTGGGGTTGGATGTTAAAATTGATCAGGAGATGTCAGTTTACAGACAGCCCCAATCCAGGGGAAATATATCCAATGAGCATGAGGTTAACAGGTCAAGTACACTCCCAATCAATGTGAATGGGGAGTGATTGGTCCAACATGGGTAGAGTCGTTCTGTTTATTAGAGGTTGAAAGAGACAAAATGGTGTTGAAAAGCAGGGTGACACAACGTATAGGACTCACCAATGCGTCCGATTGTATTAGCCTGCGGTTTGGTGTGGTTTTCCAAGCTGTCAATGCTTTCATACAGGGAGTTTGAAATCCGGCGCTCATGGTTGTCCAGTAGAGGGTTCACAGGATTCATTAAAACTGGAGGGCTTCCGGGGGCTTCCTACAGAAAACAGGAAAAAGATGACAAGTATAGTGTAAATGTATGTTCTTCTTAATCAAATATAAAGCAGTAATATGAGTTTTTTTTTCTGAAAGGGCTATTTTAATCAAAGACGTTTGAGATATAATACATTCATAACTTAATGGCTCAAGGAAATCTCACATATTTGACGTCACTCTACTACTAAGACTACTACTACTAATGCTTTACTACAACTTACAGCAATAAGTAACATTTATTAACTCAAATGTAGATGTCTTGCATTATTCTGTACAGTATATTATAAACCCTGATAATTACTATTACATATGATTGATTGTGCCTTTTGAAATGAAATGTGTGTTTACTTTTTTGTATGCATGTAGTATATACACCCAAAAGAAGGAATGGGTCTATATAAAATGTCTCCTAATGTGCTTCCATCAATACTCTAGAAATATGGAACCGGGGCCTCAGCATCCATCTCGGCTTACGTGGGTATTTTCTGGCTCAGCAGTGTGAAACGGCTCCTGAAGTAGACCGAGCTGGATAAAGCTCCATGGATTTCCCATAGGCCGATAGACAGCTGTCTCTAACAATGAACCCTAGTAAATGGACCAGTGACATTTGCCATGTGGTCGATATGCCTGCACTGCTGGATATTGAGCCCACTGTATACACTCAGTGCATGTGTCAGTCTTGGCAGGGGGGGACACAGTTAGCGGTTAGTCTTTGGGTCTGGAACCACTGGGCCCAGCTACTGTGTCCGGTCTTCATGAGCCAATAGTCTGTCAAATGTATTTTTAGGATAGAGACAATGGAGCGACTACAGTGTGAGTCAGGATGTAGAGAGCGAAACAGCCACGTGCAGAGAATTATAGAATAAAGCGTTGGTCTTGGCCTTATTTCCCATAATGCTTCATAGAAGCCTGTGGGCAGCCGGGGGAATGCACTGAAGAAGAATTCCCTGTGCAAGACCTTTTACAGATTGCCCCCTCACAGCTAGATAGTTTTGTGCGGTTCAACTTTGGACCTCCAGCCGGATTTAAAACCAGGAGGCGCTGGCTAATATTGATGTCTCACAACACTGCTGGCTCACGGCCAGGGGAGTGAAAGATAGGACAACAACTGCAGCAGGAAGACAGGAGAGCAGGAGGAGGTGGTGGGGAGTTTTCAGTAAACAAATGAAAGGAATAACAAGGAAGAAAGAGGAGGGGTTGGAGCTGAAGCCCAAGTGCAGTGTGGGTGCTGCCAAGTGGCCTCCTCTTGCGGTAGCGCGCACTAGAAGACGCATAGCAGGGTAGAGGGACTTATCGGCTGTTTAATATAAATTAGAGGTTTAATGAGGTTGAGCTCGCCGGACTTTATCGGGACAGCGTGTTGATAAGCGCTCGGGGCGAGGAGGGAAAGTGTGTGTGTGTGTGTGTGGGTAAAAGGGGGGCTGGGTCAAACAATTACAATCAGAGCCACGGCCACAGGCAGCCTTATAATAAAAAGCATGTCCCTGGATGAATCAAGAGTCAATAAAGCTCAAATTGCCGAAATAAAGATTTATATTACTCGCCTCTCTTTAACTCAACCCCTCTCTGCTCTTTTTTTAATCTACTTCAGGTCTGTCATGAGTTGAATGGAAGTAAGATTGAGTGTTTCAGGTAAGGGGTAGGAAAATGTGTGGACAGAGTGGATGAGAGAGTGAGCAGCTGAAAATCAAATGATATGAAAACTATGTATAGAATGTGTCAAGAGGAATAGATCTCAGACAGACCACTATGTATCTGCCTACCTTTATCTCTGAGCGTAGAACAGACTCGTTTAAAAAGCATTCAATTGCTCCTCTGGCAAATAGACTTTAGAATCAACTTCACATAGGCAAAATGGCAGCTATTTAATCTTTGTGTATCCAGTATTAATTAAGTGTGCCTCTGTGCATGCTAATGCGTTAGCACACTGTGCATGTTTACTGACTTGCAAATGTTTACTGACTAGTGCATGACAAGCAGGCATGTACAATCTTCACTCCCTGCTTTCACCTGGTTTTTCATTGTGATTCAACACTTTGATGCAGCAACATGTGTATTTTGTCATAAATGCAGCAGAAGGAGCATGCTATTAAAGTTAATTGGATAGTTATTAGCATCAAACATCACATATGTCTTTTTGCGATTTTAGTTTTTTCTTACCACTGGTTCTCCTCACCTCCTCATGTGTTTAACCTCTCTTAATCTAGTCATTTTCAGAGTGGATTATCCTGTTGATTGAGGGAGAGGACAGAGCACTGTGACTTACACTGAGCACAGTCAAGATCATCTGCTGCTCAGCTCCCCGTGGACTTACTAAGCATGCCTGTGTTTGTGTGTTCAAGGTAATGCTGTTACTGAATGTAGTGGGAGAGTGTTTGTATGTGTGGATACCTGTATTCATGTGTTGTTGTTTATATGCTTTCGTGGTGAATGCAGACTCATGCAAACATGTGTTTTTGCCCGTGCATCAGCATCTCCCTGACCTTGACTACTCTGAGAGAGAGAAGCAGCAGTGTGTTGACAGTGCTGGTCTTAAGCTGTCAACTAAGGCTAATAATGTCGAGGCCATGGCCATTTCCTGGCCTTATATCCAGGTCTCAGCCTGTTGCCGTGGCCCTAATCCAGTCAACCTCCACCATAATGCTGTAATTACAGTCCTTAAGCTGCTGCATCCTGCCCCAGGCACAGCTCACCTATCTGCTGGCTAGATTCCCCACTTTCATTAGCTTCTCACATCCACCTAGTCCCTCATCTAATACCAGAGCTTCATAAAGTGAGTGCCCAGGTCTGTTAGGAGTTCTGAGCAAAACTTCACAACCAGCACAACCGCATCAGCACAACCACATCAGCACATCAGCAGGGTATTGAAGGAAAACCTTAAGTCTGTTCTTCCAAATAAAGACATAATAAGTAACTTGCTACAGAGATTTAAAAAAGAACCCAGTGGCAATCCAAGGGAAAGTCAGGAAAACTCAATGTAAAAATCCACTGACGCAATATGACCGATCACCAAAATAGTAATGGGAGATATCCCAGAAATGGTAACTGGTAAACCAACCAAATAATAATAATAACATTGGTTTGAGGTCGGCTGGTAGCATGGCTAACAATACAAATACAATAAAAACATTGAAATGTATGCCCAAAAACGTTATTAACATATAGAGCTCAACAATGTTTGGGGTTGTGTTTACCTCATTGTTGGCTATAAGGTTCACCACCTTTATTACATAGTAAGACAAATAAGACATAATGCATCATTGTCACAATTTATAGTATTGTTTTTTGTAAAAGGCTCCCATTTTAAATTCAGCACACAAACTCACTTTTTGTTTAACAGTAAGTAAGTTACTCCAACAGCTCTTCTCTCTTCATGATGGTTCTGTATTTCAGTCATCTGTCCCTGTTAGCAAAGTTCAAGCAGAGTGCAACAGTAATATACAGCTAACAAGTGAACACCACGTGAACTATGCTGCAAAGTGAAAGGAATGTCTGTATGTGTCTGTGTCTGTGTGTGTGTGTGTGTGTGTGTGTGTGTGTGTGTGTGTGTGTGTGTGTGTGTGTGTGTGTGTGTGTGTGTGTGTGTGTGTGTGTGTGTGTGTGTGTGTGTGTGTGTATTCAAGTACACGTGTATGTTGCTTAAAAACATTTCAGTCTTTAGTACACACTTCCCCTCCACTGCCCTCCTCCATGCCCAAGCAGTACACTCAACCACCAGATTCAATATATTATTTTCTCAATTGGTGCTATTGAGTTTCCCCTGCTGCTCCTAAATGAGTTAGTCCTCAGAGAGCCGGCTGGGAATGAGGGCCCAGCAGCGCTGGAATTGCATTTCTGCTGCTCTGCGATCTACTTTCCTCAATTTAGTCACCCTTTCACTGCAAACTGCATTTCCCAGAGTGCACCGCAGTGTGCCCTAACTGTATCTACTTCCCATGAATCACTATTTGCCATGACAGCAGGGGACCTGTAGTCCCTACAAGCCATGATCTAACCGGACTTCAATCACTCCCTATTAAGACAAGAGGCGGGGGTCCACAAAGATTTCCCTGCCTTTCTACGGCCTCGGATGTGGGCCAGCATCTCAATGTTTTAAGGTCCCTCACAGCAGAGGTTAGCTCAATACTAATACAACCATAATTTACTAGGCCAGGCCTCTGATTGATAGCTCTCTCAGGGTTCTATCGATCAGCCACTCTCTCGTCCAAGTGAGCATCCTTTGTTAGGGCCAGCCACTTCCTTCCCCCTTGTCTCTTTGCATAAACGTTCTCTTTGTGACTAACAAGCAACTATTTTGGAATGGAAAACAAACAGGGTCATTGGCATGCTGAGGACACTTCTTCAGTGCTCCTTAATATACATAATAAGATGTTATGTCCAGTTGCTTCACAGGGTTTAGTAATCTACTATGTCTGTTAGCTTCTATGATGCATCAATGCTAAGGTGAATACAGGGATAAAGTATCTTCTGCTTTGATCTTTCTCCTGTCCTCCCTGCTGCTGCTTATCATCAATAATAAAGCAGTACTTCAACCATAATCCCTCATAGTTAGTTGTAACATAGAAGAGAATGGTAAACCATGATCCCGATCAGATTGACTGTTTGAGAAAAGGTCCTTTGTTGGTGAAACCCTATCCTATGTCAATTGCATCATTTTGATTCCAATTACTGTTGTTTGTAATCTTGAATCATGTCATTATGTCAGCCTAAAAATGTGGGTTAACCCACCGCCTCCCTATTCATGCAGTCCTGTCATTTCTATGCATCATGCTGTTATGAACATTCCTTCAATTTAAAGAACTGACGTTAATTAGCTGTCATGCATATCAGAAATCCTCAGTGGAGTAAATGTCAGCATAGTGATTCGTTCTTTGAGGACAAGGCTGGACATTTTCATAAATGTGTTAATATGTCAGTGGCTGAAGAAAATTAGAAAACAGGAATCAAGAAACAGGTTTCTCAGGTGACTAAATATGCTGGCAACTTTGCAGTGGTTTCTTATCCCACATGATATTTACATAATTGGGATTGCTGGACTGTGAAGTATTTTAAATGGTCAAAAAGGGGGAATGCTTTACATAAAAGCTTTACATTTATATCTTAAGGGCGGTCATGAAAGAAAAACTGTGCTGAGACAAGCACAAAAAGAAAGTGAAAGTTAAGAAAATCTGAAGCTAAAGAACTGAATCGTGGCTCCGCCTTAAGCTAAGACTCATGAATTATCATGAGAACTCTATGGCAGAGAACCACAATTTAAAAATAGTACACTGTGAAATGAACTCAATCCGTAGATGCGTGGTATCTCAAAGGAAGACAGGGAAGATGAGAAAGGTTTGGGGGGGGAAACATCTCTGATTAATGCAGTGCTTCATTGGCAAGTTGCCGTAGCGCTGTCAAAAAGGACAACAAATACACCCCAAGACAGCAAGTCTGTCAAAAATGGTGGATGTCGGCTGCAGCTCTTTGTCATAAATAACATCACAAATGCACAGAGACTCATGTGCGCGAGTCATGTGATGAATTCCAAATCAGAGAAATTAAACCCAGCCAAAAGCATGCTTATCATCGGCCTGTCTGCCTTTTGATGCTGGTGAGATAAATATCTTAGTAGTGTCATGAACTTCTAAGGCGGTTGCAACAGACAGAAACAAACATCCAGCGTTGTGTGAAAGTTCACAAACAGGATAAGAGTGAGAGGCGGGGGGGCTCAGACATAAGCTCAGACATAAAATCCATCTTTTATGCTCGGAAACTTTAAATCTCATCATATTAGCTGCTGTTTTGTATTCTTATAATCCTCTTTGTATTGAAATGAGTTCTGATGATTTTTAGAGATGAAGGCAACTGATCACCTTGGGAGCTAAAGACTTAAGATATCTATAAACTGCTAATGAATACGTTGTATGTTACCTCACCAGAAGTTATACTGATCAATCTGCAGATGATCTTCTTTGATTCAGTTGCAGTACTTTGGGTTTGTGACTCAAAGATTAGTCTCTGAACTAAAAATGTAGACGATTGAGAACATTCCAAAAATGTGGCCATAAAAAATGAACTTAAAATTACTTTTTCTAAATGTAATTGCTTAAACACATGTGACAATATATTAATAGAACCCAGATATAGACGAACAAATTATACAGCCTCTGAAGCAGCAATGCAATTACAATTTCAAACAAATTGGCAGTGACCAATCATATCGCCTGACTATCTGGGGCAGAATGGTAGTTTTTCAAACAAGGGAAAAAAGAACTGAAATGAACAGAACAGCAGTATGAGTAATTGTTTCCGGTACAGAGTGTGTGGATATAAACTGTGTGTGTATGTATGTGTACTTAGCATAATTCAAATTATTATTTTTCAGACACCTTTATCTTCTGTCTGAGTGCATATCCATGGCATTCTTAATGGCTGGTTAGCAAGAGCAGTCGTAATCAACTGAAGACATTTTGTTACTTATTTGAGAAACTTCATTAGCTATTCTTCTACTCACTGTTATCCTGTGACCAGAGTCTTCCTTGACAAATGCATTTTTAGGCTTGGAATTGAAGCAATAAAGGTCTCTACTTGTCAGATTTTGAATCAGGTTCATGGGGACCTTCTGGGGTTTGTTCTCCATTAAAAATAGTCCTCTTATAGCGCAGTACATCGCTTTGTTAGACTCGAATACATCCTTAATCATACTCAAGTATGTTTCTCTTTATTCCAAGGTCGGATTGAAAAAATCTAATTTCCACCCAAGGCGAAGGCCACTCATTGCCAATGCTTTAATTGCATCAGAAATAGACCAGGTACTCCACAGCAAACATGGAAGGAATTATCAGCAGAAGGAACCGGCATATTAAAACTTGTCTTTTCCACTGGGAGGATACACCTGGATGGACGTAGCCCCAAGTCCTGATGAAAGCAAATGGACTTCTGGAAGACCTAGGACAATGTGTGGAAGTGTGTGTGTGAGGTTTTTGTTCGTTTGTTTGTTGGGTAGGGGGGTTATATAACATATTTAGTTACATCCCATTGAAGAAAACGGATACCAACTCAGTGACTGGTGTATGGTTTTGCAAACACCCACCAAACCAAGCTTAACCTTAAAAGAAACATTACAATGTTCTCAAAGAAAATTTGACCAATGCTTAGCCAACAGGCCCTAGCAATGATGAAAGCAAGGCAGTGGGGTGGCCTGGATACGCTGCAGCCATAGAATTGGACCCCCCCCCCCCCTGATGCATTAGGCTGTGCTGCTCAGCTCCTCTCCCCTGCAGACAGTGATGGATCTGATTCATTTCAATGGTGGCCTCCAGTGCTCACTCCCATTCGGCTGGGTGACAGTGGCAAACTGGCGCTGGCTCCCCACATATCTGCCCGGCCGACACAGGAGAAGGGGGGGGGGGGGAAGAAATTGCCGGGAGCCTATGTCGACATTTAACTTTTCTTATTTCAGGGTTGCAACTGATCCTAAATTCTACATTTACCTTCTCATCTTTTCTCCACTATGAGTACATTAAAATCTCCTCAAGTGTTTTGGCACCTATTTAAACCATTAGGCCTTGAGAAAACACTGCATCTTCAGCTCCTTACAGTGTTAATGGGAGTGTGATTTATGGAATCTAAAATGCACTGTTAGATCTCAATCTCCTACTATCTCATGGCAACTGATGTTGAAGTAAATGTCAAGTTATTAACACATTGTTTCCATAAATGGATCAAAAATGTTTAACCTGAAAATATAAATCTTCCACATACAAACTGTTAGTGTAATAATGACAGTAAAACATTTTAAGTTTCTGAAAAAGTGTTTGTGTGTGACCTTAACTGTCTGCTCACTGTCAGTGTGTCTACCTGTCTGCCTGCTGGTGAGGGATTAGGAGGACAGGAGAGTGACTGGACCGAAGTGATAGAACTCACTGAACCTTAGGGCTGAGCTCTCCCCGCAGGGACATCTGTCCTCTCCTCCAGATTGGACAGGGTCGGGTCGAAGCTGTGTAGACTGAAACCAGCTCTGTGTTTAAAAAAGGCATGGGGCTCCGTGTCGCTTTAGGTGCAGGTTAATCTATATATTTAGATATATATATATCTCTATATATGTCAGTCTTTTTAGATCCGTACATTTTAAAGGTCGTAAAATGCATTTATAATAAATTGTATGTATTATAATTAAAAGGTGAACAGTAGAAGTATGAGGGTACATGGTAATCTTACCCTGAGGGTGACGTCATATTTAATTGCAGCTAAAGTTAGGGCAAAGTTAAGTATTTTGTGAGACGATCCAGTGTTAGCTTTTCTTGAGCCCTCTGTGTTGGCACTATTAATGCTTCAACAAAGTTAAATGAATGACACAGTAGAGTTTTTTCCATGCAGTGCTGCTGTTTCTTCTGAGACCGGACAGAACAATTGGAAATGAGGGTTCATGGCGAGAGGATTTCACTTTGTGATGGTGGAAAACATAGCATGGTGAACAGCTCATAGGGTAATGCATTTTGCTGAGGAATGTTTTGTTTTTCACAGAATAACCACAAATCCCATTAAACCTGCTGCTTCCTTTTTAAGATAAATAGCAGTTACCTTCTCTGGTAGTGCACTGCATGCCTTTGTTTTGACAAAAAAGAAGAGGAATCAAATAAGGTCCTGTTTTTGTGCAATAAAGCAATCCAGCAGATGTAGGCAGAGATCTCCTTATACAATTGAGAGAGATGAATCAAGAGGCAAAACTGTTTTAGTAAACATAATGCAGCAATGTATGAGTAATACCTGTGAGAATTCAACTCCACTCCCTGGCTGTATTTATCCAATGTTCTACCTGTTAACTATGGAGCACCACATGTTGGGGGGGGTAAGGGAGGTGAAAACGGACATTAAAACACGAAGAAAAACAAGCGCACAGAGCGTCGGGGGGGTGCTCTGTAGTGAGACACAGAACACTCGAAGGATGAGGGCTTGCAGAGAGGGTGAAGGGCAGAAAAGGGGGGGGAATGGGGCTCTGTGTGGTACTCCAAACTGACACACAGCCACGGGACACAGGCTCCAATTAGAGTCACTGCAACACTAATCAAACCTGATCTACAACCTCTGGCTGCAGGGTGACTGATCGTGTGTGTGCGTGTGCGTGTGCGTGTGCGTGTGTGTGTGTGTGTGTGTGTGTGTGACATGTATCCCCAACACTGAAATAAACTGTGCTTAGTGTTTCATATTTAGCTAAATCAGGTTAGCATTCATTTAGGTTTTCAGTCCAGTATGTGTAAGAGTGTAGTTATAGAAAGGTAGGCTGGGATTAGCTCAATGTCACAATGGGCATTTCATGAAGTTGAAATCCTCCCGCCTCAATATTCTTCACTGTTGCCTTTTGACAAAAATCCACCAAGCTGCAATGCATGTTCCGTTATCTGTCTATCCTACAGTGTTATTCCGCAGGCCTGTCAATCATAACCCAGTGAAGTGCTTCTTAGATATCATATCAAGGCCCACCGTGGGCAAAAAAAAGTCACATAGAATGGGGGGAAATTTGAGACGGTATCACCTATCTCACACAGGAAATGGGACTGTTTGAAGATTTGCATGATGGTGTGGTCGCTTCCTAAAGGTCCTCCTCTAGCTATCTCAAAGCAACAATAACCTATAGCCAATGGCAATGTAGACGATAGCTACTCTCGTTTATCATTCAGTGCTGTTGAAATGTGGCTATCAGCCTTCTTCATTTAATATGTATTCCACTCGTACGTAGACAGGATTTGAATTGGATCATGAATGTGTTTGTTGAGTTTTGATATACATTTGGTATCTTGTACTGTGCACACATGAGGGAACTGAAATGTATGCTTCTTTGAGAAAAGGTAGCTCGTTCTAAATAGAATATTAGAATAAAGTAATCACAATCTGACTCCTTGTGATGCCTCTGAGCGTATTATTGTGACTCCTCCCTGAGAGTTACCCTTACCTCATTGTTTTTGGACACATGCCGGGCCACGATGAGCTGAATCATCCCTCGTATGTTGCCCTCAACAGACATGGATGTGCGCAGGGTTTCCATGGCGTCCTGGTTGGTCATACCATGCAGCGACTCCCCATTGATTGCAATGAGCTGGTCATTGACTCGTAGACGGCCATCCTGCAGACGAACCCCATCACAAAAAAGTTAGATCTGAGTCATAAAGTTCTTGCATTAACATCTTCTAAATAATGACTGTTTGTATTGATCATTGGAACAATTTGAACAAGAACTACATGTACATTTGGCAGCTGGGATAACATATACACCTTCTCCTAAAAAATCACAATAAATACAGGAGTATGATCACTATCTCGTTTCCCTATGTGGGTCTTATTGGAAACATTTTGAATGTGTACATTATATGACAAACAATTCAAAACTATAACAACTCAAATTGAAAAGTGTATGGGTATAATACAATATATTATTCTTCAGGATAAGAAAATTCACAACATAGTAGTTAAGCCACTTAAACAGTGGGCTCCATGGAACTTGGTAGTCCACCTTATCCTTACTTACTTATATGTAAGTAGGTCCTTAAGTTACACTAACACTAAGTTAAATGCAATGAAGGCAATTAATAAAGTAATGGTCAAATTGTAAGTGAGTGGGAGTAATGTAAATGGATGGGAGTGGTGACTTGCCTTGCTAGCAGCACCTCCATTAATTATGGATTTAACAAAGATGCCCAAGTCAGCGTGGTTCTCCTTGGACCGGTTCCCCTTGACGCTGACCCCCAGGCCTGCTGAGCCCGAGTCACTTAGAGGGATCTCAAAGGTCATGAACTCCTGTGTACCATCAGGGGTTAACACGATGTCGTCCTCTTCTGCCTGCTGTGGGTATTATTAAAGAGGGAGAGCGAGAAAGAGAGAAAGACCAATCATTTGTTATGGCTTTGGAACATCTAAGAACAAACAGTGGCAATGTAGTTGCTACATTTCCACTGTTGGATTCAAATCTATGTGTGAAGTATACAACTCCAACTTTAATTTTGGTAAAAAAACTGAAAAACTAAGTTTAAAAAAATATGTAAGAGAGAAAAAATAAACAGAAAATGAAATAACAGGGATGGTGAATGACAAGAAAATGAAAAAGCAGGCGGGAGACAAGATAAAGAGGAGAAAGATGAGGGGGGGGGGGCAGGAGAAGAAAGCGAATGGATGGCAAGCATGTCACAAACCTCAGGGCTGTCAGCGTCAATTGGCCGTACTGTCTAGCCGAGCGCTGCTAATTCCTTTCTACCGTCATGAGCTCAGTGTAGGAGCAGTGGGGACAGCGAAGAACTTTGAAAGCGCCAGGTAGCAATTTGGTGCTCAAAAAAACACTGGGTTCCTTTGAACAACACCCCTTTGAAGGATAATTTGTGACACGTTAAGAACCCGACCCTCCTTCCCTGAGCGATCCATGGGCCTTTTGTTGAAAATTACCATAGTAGCGTTTTGTTGCAAGGCCTGTACTGCACATTTTCATGCCTGGTACACACAACAAATGGTTCATTTCAGCTGCCAGAGAGGTGTGAGATAGAGTGTTGAGGGTCTAGCACCCAGCACGATCAATTCAGCTGGAAAATAGTCCATCAAACAACCACCACAGTCTGTTCTGACAATTTCCACTGGTATATAACAATGAGCATATGCAGCTAAACAAAAGTGGAGAATAGGTGTGAGAGAACACACCTGAGGTATAAAATAAATGGTATTTCCGTTTGTTGACTTCAGTAAAACCTAATCAAGATGTTAAAATGTTTTTGAATTATTTTTGTTCAATTACTTTTGAGCCATGGTCGACATGCCTTGGCTGAGTCAATGTTTTAAAACCAAAAGTTTGTAGAATGAGTGGTTACTTTCCCTACAGATGTTCCTATACATGCCTGCTCAAAAGTAAGATTGAGATCTGTAACACTGTGATTGGCCAGATTGTACAGTACATGTTATTGCCATGGCAGCCAAATCCACATGAACAATGCTGGCGGTGAGCGCAATCAACCCCAGGAACCAACCGCAAGAACCCTTTAAACAGACTCACATCGATACATGTGGGCACACACACACACACACACACACACACACACACACACACACACACACACACACAGCCAGATGGATGGCAGCCAGGTGTGTGCCCTTCACAGCTGCTCGGATAAAGAGTAAAGCAGAGGAAAGAAAGGGAAAGATAGAGCATAGGGTGTTTTTTCCGGACACTGAGGAGTTATTAGGATGCAGCGGTGCGTTCAGGTGGAGGCTCTTTTCAACACCCTCTGACTGAGCCCCTATTCTCCAGACAGCCCTGCTACCTGCCCCCTTTTCTCCTGCTTTTCTTCTCCAGCTTTCAAAATAGCAGTACACCTGTCAGTACAACCTGCCAACTGGGCTTTGTCCGTGACTGGACCCACAGTCAATTCCGCCCGCTGGAATCCATTTAATCGCGCTGCATTTCAACACTTCCGTTTCTATTACAGAAATCACCGGCTCTTGTCAGGAAATGACCCTTTGCTTCCACTCAGACGGCTGGATGAAGCAGATAGGGCATAAGTGCAGGTGTAAATATAATGCATCAGCAATACTTAACTTCTCATTCTTGTTTGGTATGGTAAGCATGCTTGAATTTTCGCTCCAAAAAGGAGTGATAGCCGTTATATTGAAGTAACTTTAACTCAACTTGTGGAATCAGTTGGTTACCAATGCAGGCCCATAGCAACGCAGCACAAACAGACTGTACAATTTCCATTTTGAAAAGAACGCTTGTGCATGAATGGCCTTGTGCGTCATTGGCAGGGTCAGTCTTTATCTTTAATGAAGATGTTTTATCAAAAGAAAAGAAATAAATAGTGGCTATGAGTTATGTCCCTGGAGAAGCTTTTAGCCCAGCATTTGAACATAGTAATACGTTGGATGAAAAAAAATACTTTGGATGGACCCTGTCAGAGCATCTGTGTGTGTGTCTCTGTGTGTGTGTACGCTCTCCTCTAAAATGATGACAGAATAACCACCCACTCAGAGCTGTGTTCCGGGAATAGCGGGCCGAGGCAGAGAATGAGAGAGCAGTGTAACATTTTCATCAGACAGGAACAAGCGCCGCTAGCCAAGAACGAGTTTGTCAGGCAGCTTGACAGGCCTCGTTGCACCGACTCAGCTCAGGCAGAGCTGGATTTAACTACCTCTGAACAGGAGAGAAAGTCACCTCATTGTTCCAAGCTCAGCCCCGTTTATGCACCTGGGACAGAGGGAACAAAAGTACTGACAATAGATGAACTGATGTAAAAGCACTGGAACGGTAGCATGCATGAATCAAAAAAGCACCAGGATTTTTTTATTGATTTGAAATATGTCTGTGTTATCAGTGAAAAAGTCAAAAACAGACCTATACATTTTTCTCCAGAGGAAGCTGCACTTACTAATGATGGTTGAACGTCCCCTCTCCTACTTGCTGCAAAGTCATGAACAAACTACATCTGACTTTGAAGACATGTGTCCTTGAGTTCACAAGAGATTTCTGATATTTGATTGTCCCCTGTCAAATATCCAGCTCACATATCGCTTTTCCCTTCATAAAGTAACGCTGTGTTCATCGGCATCATTTAGGTTTATTTGCGGTATTCACGCCATGAAGGTGGAAGGGATTACTTTAATTCAGATACTAACAAATCTGTTTCATCAACAATGGATCAAATTACATCATCATATCATCATATATCATATATTGTTGGTTAAAACTACGGTGCATAAAAGGTCCATGCTGTACCCAGATACTATTCATTAAGGTCAAATATAATGTGAAACCATCTTAGGTAGTCAAGAGTGGTTATAATATAATTATTCATATTATCTGAATAACTCAAGTGACTGCCCTCTTGGCCAGCTCATCACAAAAGAAGCCAACGATGTTCTCTTTTTTTCCGCTCTGACACAGCTATGCAGTCACAGTCCATTATACGATTAAGTCCTTTATTAATTAACACTGTGACGGGGTGGCAGCCATTAGTTATAGTCTATTGTCCAGGCAGGGGGGGGGGGGGTGCAGAGAGGCAGCATTCGAGCAGAGAGACGAGCAGGTGAACAGAGGAGGCCAGGGAGAGAAGAACATTGCTCATCAGTATAGCAAAAGAGCCGTGTCTGGTTAATAGGCCTTTTTGTTTTGTTTCTACCTCGCTTAACTTGTCACCTACTAATAAGAAAGGTGTGTCAGATGTGTGCCAGTGTGTGTCAGAGAAACAGAGCTACAGAACAAGAGTACGATGCAAGGGAGAAAAGGGGAGAGGGGAAGAGTGCAAATGAATCACACTTTCTTCTATTCACACATAACTCGGAGTTCTCCGCACATCACTGCCTAAAACAATTAACACCGCTGGAAACGTCTTTCCACACTTGGCCTTTTTTGGGGACACAAAGGTCATTGGAGATGAATTTAAAAAGGGCTAAAAGAAATCAGCCAAGGGTGTAATTGCAAAAATGGTGCATGGGTGATAAGTATTGTAACACAAATTTCCTCTGGCTGTGTTTTTCCCCGCAACACAAAGGGGCAGAATATTAAAAGCCTCTAAGCCTAAAAACAAATCCAGTCTTTTTCAGGTACAATGAAGGGCTGATACAGAGCAATGAAGGACATGACCCGCACTGCTAGCTGTGGCAGGATTTAAGTGTTTATAAACTAACATAACACATTTTGACTTGGCTCTGACAAACTGGGACTGTTACTCTTTGGGGAATTTCCAACGGGGAAAGCTCATTTGGCTCATTAACAAAACAAAGTCAGTTTCTATGAGGGCATCTGAGGCCATATCTATCTTAATTGCTGCAAAGGCATTGTGGCTACTGGCTTGTAATGAATGCACTGTTTGGATCTTAATGTAAGCAACAAAACAATGACCTGTTTGCAGGCGTGAAACTAGATGTTTCTGCGTACGATTGAGGAAGCGATTATCTGTAATCAAAGATAGCATCAAGAATAAAAGTGTGTTTCTAAGTGTACTTTGAAACTCGGAATGTTTGCAAATGTGTTTCAGTCGAACCACAGTATAGACGCACATCATGAAGCAGATGCCTCTCATTTCAATCTAATGGTCTATGAAAAGAGCTTTGCTATGTCCAAATGCACATGTACACTTCAACCCATTATGTGTTCTGGAAACAGACGCTGAATCCCCTTCGGAAGAGTGACTGTGTCGCCATAAGTGGCCTTTAACTACCTTGTTTATCGGCATTGCACAATGCTGCGGTGCACCCTCTCTTTCTCTGCACTGACACCACGCATAATTATGGAAACAGCTGCTGAAAAGTGCTAAACGAAAACAGGTGGCGCCGACGAGACACGCTCGGAAATCGTTAACCAGGCTGGCATTGTCTTCCACCACGCTTGGCAGCATTTACTTGAATTATGACGGAGCACGTTTCTGAACTCTGCGCCTTGATCAGAGAATCTTTCTATAGGAGCCAAATTAATAATGTGGGAAAGACTCATCAGCATTCTTGAGAAAGGAAGGTGATAAACAAAAGAAAAGCACAAAGAGAACAGAGGAAAACGTTGTAAAGTCTCTGTGTGTCTTTGCTGAACATCAGGAAATAAGAGCGAAGTATGAACTTTACGAAGCTTTCAGTGAACAAATGGATAAAGTGTCTCTACAAGAAGATGCTTTTTGGAGATGGTGAAGAGCTTTCTGGTGCCATGGTAACACACTGGAGCTCTTACCTACCAGATCATTATGCTCTGTAATTTTAAGACATTTGAAGCCATAAAGTGGCGGAAAAAGTGACAATGATTGCAGGTTGCGAAACCATGTCTCTACACTACTCTTCCCGAAGGCCTTTAGAGCAATTCCTTTGATTTAACTTCACCT